TCCCCCCATTTTATTGTATATTAAGATGCCAGAAGCCGGAAGCACAAATCACACCTAAACATTTACAACTTTAGATTGTAAATGAAATAATTATAACTCAAAAGCAACATTAAAAGATAAAATCAACTCGAGATGTCATTTGAATCTCGCAAATCAGAAGTCACTAAGGTTTAAAACTTAAAACTTAACACCTAAGCCTAAAAATTAGACATTTCACCTTCAACGTTTATCTGTCAATTATCAACTTAAAACTTAACACCTAAGCTTGAAAATTAGACAAAAAAAAAGGTCAAACATGAAAAAATTAGAAATGGTCATCAAAAAAATTACAAATGGGAAGTGAAGTAAAAATAGTAGAGACATTGACCCTTTAATATATTGGGTTCTTATTAAGCCAAAAAATAAATCAAGTTAAAACCTTCACATCAAAAGTGCAATGACATAACACAAAATCAAAAAAGAATATCACACATGTAATTATTTAATAGGCATTAAGAAAATATTAAACTAACTAATAAAATAATTATGCTTTATGAATCATAAATCAAGAAAACACATTACTCCTGCAATTAATAAGAATTAAGCAATTATTAAACTAACTAATAAAATAATAATTCAAATAGACAATAACATATCAAATATATATCACAAAATATCAAAGAAAAAATATAAATAGCAAATAATAACATCATTAGATAGTAAGGGAAAAAATACAAAACCTAATGAAAACTATTGAAATATACCAACCTTCTTGAAGTGGACTCGATTTTGGGCCAAACCGAAATGTTTGGGATCCCACATCTTCTCTTTTGCAACCCTATAAGCTTAAAAATATTGGGGATGAATATCCTTTAATATCGTGACCATTCAAGGACTTCGAAAAAATTTTCGATCTCTCAAAAAATCTTCAAATCTAATTTTTTTTCAAGTTGTTTCTCACTCAAAAGTTCACTAAATTTTTGGGGGCAAGAATGGCCCCCCAAACCCGAATCCCCCTTTTAAGGGGGTAAAATGACATTTTATGCCCCCTCTTGAATTTTTTTTCGCCAAAGTCGTGCAAGCCACCTAGGCGGTCCGGCGGACGACTTTTCGTTCATTGATAATAATAAAATTGAGATTCATTATTTGTGGAATTGGGAATTATCAAATGTGGAATCAAGATTCAATAAATTTGGGAATCAAGATTTGAAAAAGGTTGGAATTGAAATTCCATACATGTTGGGATTGAGATTCGAAAAGATTTGGAATTGAGATATCTAAAATAAGGAATTGAGATTCCTAAAATTAGAAATCAAGATTCCTGAGCCCACTGACTCACCAAAACAAAAAACAAGAAAAAGAAATCGAGATTCCTGACTTAGTGAAACAGGTTGTGAAGATTCCTTGTTGGAATCGTTGAATTAGGATTCTGAAGCGGAATCGTGACCAGGGAAGACAGATTTTAATAAACTATGTTTAGGACCTGCGTGAGATGGGTGGCAAGCACTTTTGCAGGATCTTGTATGTACTATTGAACAGGTCGATCGACCTACAGTTTTTTAATTGCGATGTGCATTCCATCACTCGGACTAGGAAAATGGGCATAGAGTTTATCCCCATATGGTTGGTCTCCATATCATAGTTCTTTGAGAAGACAATTGAGAAGTTTGGGGCCAGGCTCTCTGAGAAGAAGGTTGAGAAGTTTGGGGCCATTGCCTCTTAGAACCTATGGAAGGGGGCCACTGGGAACCCACCCGACCTGGGCCTTTACTAACCAAATTAATGTGGGCTCTACAAATTTCTGTTTCAGAGAATGGCTTTTATGGTTTAGCAACATTTCCGTCCAATGATATTTCTGGGCTGGAGGCCATTGTACTCGTAAAAAGGACCATTTCTATGGTTCCAAATATTTCGCATTCATTTTCATTGGGTTTGCTGCTTCGTGTTCTTGAATATTTGTGAATTAGCCACCTGTGCTCTGGCTCTAAATATCTTGTGTCTCTCTCCATTTAGATTTGCCCCATAGTATGTCAGGACAGGTGACCACCATAACTCAAAACCATACCTGCAATAGGTAAAGGAATATATCTGACATATCCCAATGAATATTGGAACATTTCAACACAATTGATTGCCCCTCTGAGCTGTAATTGCATCCGACCAGCATGTAGTTCACCATTTTCCTTTTCTTTCCCTTCATGCACTTTAGGTAGGCGTGGTGATGTAAGGAGGAGGGGAAAGAAAATAAACAAAGTAGAAATATCATCGTCATCATCAAAGCCTTTTCCTAACTATTTGGGGTAGGCTATACAAATCATGGTCTGCCATTCTGTTCTATCGAGGGCCATACCCTCAATGAGGCAAACAAACTAGAAATATAGAAGACAAAAATAAAATGTGAGATAATATACCCTCTTTCAAGGTTTGGGCGTCCACCCCAAAAAGATCTTTTCACAAGACCCAAAATAAGCCCTTCTTCTCTTCTTTATTCTTTTCTTGTCTAGTTACATATTTTTAGAATAAAACCTTGAAACCTAAAAAACCGCAATCAATATTAAATCCTAGTATTTCATCTTTTAAAAAGATTCAACTTCCAATTCTACCTCTCAATCCTCTACAACAAAAAAAAGACACAAATACCCTAAAAGGAAACTAGAAACCCAAAACGTAAACTTCAATCCCAAAAGAAATAAAAATAAAAATAAAAAACCTTAATTGCATCATTCTCCTAGGGTTGAGAGAAGCTTAACCTTGAGCTTGTTGTAACCATTGCTTCCTTCAAAGGCCACTTGAATAGTTTATGAGGATGTTCCATCATTTGTTAGGTAGTTTGTCTAAACCAATGATCAAACACTTTATATGTAACTTGTAGTGGAACTTTGGGATGTCAAACATAATTTTGATTTCTCGTTGGAGCTCCTCATGAAACTCTGGAAGATCGAACGTGATATCGAGATCACATGGACATTCCTCCAGTCGTGGTTCCTTTTTTTTTTTTTGGATTCTTTTTTATTAAATATAGAGTTCAAAATGGACGGATCAGTAACTCCTTATGTCATGGTTCTTGTTTCAAAATTTGGTCATTACATATAGGATCAGCATTTGGAGTCGATTGTGGAGCTCGATTTTTCCCTTTAGTGAGATTTTATAACGGATCTACGTGATTACGAGCACCATTTTCTCGTTTAACGCTATTTTCTAATCGTTGCCATCGCTGATTTATTTTGCTGGTCTCTCTTCGAATATCTTATGTGGCATCATTTCTTGTATCTTTAATTTGTTGCTTCACAACCTTCATCATTTGTAGCAATATACCTTGATTGTGAAGTGGTCTAAGGAGGGTGAGGACTAAACTTTTCGTCAACCCGACCCAAGCCCAGGTAAAAGAGGTGGGTTGTGTTAGGTAAGTAGCTAATGTAAAACTTTGTCAAAACTTTCCATGAATCTTGAATCTACGTTATTTGCTTATAATAATACCCTTGATTGTGAGAGTGGGTCTTGGTACCTTCGTTATAGATGAATATTCCAAGTTTTAATACCAATTGATATAGGTACACTGATACCAATTGATGTAGGGTGGAGGGGAAAGAAAATAAACAAACCTGATAAATAAAAGATAAAAAATAATGAGTGAGGGAATATACCCGCTTTCAAGGTCTGTAAGGGATCCACCCTTGAAAGATATTTTCAAAAGACCCAAAATAAGCCATTCTTCTCTTCTCTATTTTTTTTCCTTGTCTCATTATATATTTTTAAAAGAAAATGCTAGAACCTAACTTACTTCCTAAGAAACCCTAATCAATATTAAATCCTATCGCTTCATCTTTTAAAAAGATTAAACTTCAAATTCTACCCCTCAATCCTCTACAAAAAAAAAGGCACAAATACCATAAAAGAACCTAGAAACCCAAATAACCCCAAACCTAAATTTCAATCTCTAATACAATAATAAAATAAAAATTAAAAAACTCTAATTGCATTAGGTGGAAACTTCCCCAACTGTTCGGCTTGGCTCAGCTCGGGCCAGTAAATGTGGCCTGGGCTTGGGCCTGAAAATCTAGGCTCAGTCTCCAATCTAGAGCAAGTTTGAGCCTGGCCCTACTATTTTTTCCTCTTTTTTTTTTATGAATTTAGAAAACGGGAAAAAATTAATATCTACTGGCATGTCCTGACCTGACTGATATCATTAATAAGGCCGAGCCGGGCTACGATGCCAAGAGCAATACTATGCCTAGGGCACGACCCCTCTGGCCATGTTCAGGCCTGGCCGGTCCTTAACATCCCAGTCTGGGCTCGGGTCAGCTTTGCCTGACCCAGGTGCTGCATGTTGCCACCCTTAACTTTAGGTTTGGGATTTTTGATAATGAAAACTTTGTTTTCTCGTGCTAGCTATAAAAATGTTGAAACCCATGGTATATCTTTCTACCATATCCAGTTAATTGGGAAAGCATGCCCTGCCCCTTCGCAAACTTTCTATTACATGGATCTTAGCCAAGAGCATATGTGGCTCTTCAGCCCCTGAAACTACCATGTGCAACCCATCACCCCTTCTTAAAATAAACAATTTGAAGATGACCTAAAAGCTCAAGAAGTTCTTCAATCTAAAAGTCTTGCAGGTTCCACATATGGGAAAATGGTTGAAAACTCGTCAAAGTTATTTCCCTTCATTTTGTTAGATTGTTTGCTGCACTTCTTTTCCATTCACATATAAATGGTATGCCTCTTCTTATTCTTGCTTGCCTTTTATAGGTTTGCCGAGCCATGTATATGGGAATTTATAGAATCTAGAAAATAAATAGTCTAAAGATTGTAATGGGGTGTTCTATGCATCCAGCTGATATTTGTTATAGGGATGCCTCTTTAATATACATTTAGTGAAATATGTTATGGACGATGTTTGCATCATGGTATGTCTTATGGATGTTTCATGCAATCAAGCAAGTTAGGGAAACTGTTGCATAATGTTGCAGTCTCCCTCAGTGTGTAATCTTCTTAATTTGCAATATTTCCTTTCATCTCAGGAGTTGGAAAAGAACGAGCTGCCCTGGGAGCTATTTTATTCTTGCTGGCATTTCTTTATGCATTTTGGCGAATGGGTATTCACTTTCCAATGCCTTCCCCAGATAAAGGTATTTATGTTTATTTTGGCTGGTCTACTTTATTTTGGCCAATATTACTTTATGCTTCTTGACTGATCTCTCTGTGCTATATAACTGAGAGCGACTATAAATATTCCTACTAGTGTGACATCAAGCCAATTTATGAGCAATGTTTTTGGTTGAAACAAGTCCTCAAGCAAAATGCAAAGAAAGAGTAATTGAACTTCCCTATGAACAGTCTTCATAAGCATCTTGTTTAATTTAGTAAAGATGAATTTAGTGTTTCTTTCTAATGTTTTAAATTCTCTTTTTTTGTCTCAACATGAGTGTTAAAGCTTCTTCATTTGGTGTTTCAGATTTTCTTTTTCCCCTTGCATTATTGACCTAAGGAAAAAAAGTGAGGTCGGAGGTCATAGATACATTCGTAGGATTAGTATATTTGAAGTGAAATAATCTTTTGAGAAGGACGAAGGTATGAAAGGCTTTAGGACCAGATGGTTCCCCGATAGAGGCTTGGAAGTGCATGAGAGAGATTGACATATTCTGACTGACCAAGTTGTTCAACAAGATATTGAGAACAAAGAAATGCTAGACGAATGGAGAAAAAGTATCGTCATACCATGAACAAAGGTGATATGCAGAATTGTACGAACTATCGAAGGATCAAATTTACTAGCCATACTACGAAGTTGTGTGAGAGAGTGATTGAGCAACGACTAAGACATGAAACGAGTGTATCAGAAAATCAATTCAGCTTTATGCCAAGGAGGTCAATAATTTAAGCTATTTTCCTACTTAGGCAACTGATTGAGAAGTTTAAGGAGAAGAAAAAGAAACCTCCACATGGTCTTTGTTGATTTGGAGAAAGCATATGATAGGTACCTAAAGAGTTAATTTGGTGGGTGTTGGACAAAAAAGGAGTCTTTAGATGGTATAATGAAGTGGTGAGAGATATGTACGGGGAAATGCTAGCTAGTGTGAGGGCAACTAGTTGAGAGACGACTTCTTAGATATAATAGGCCTTCTGGGGACAATGTTGAGCACATCTCTTTTGTTTTGGTTATAGACGAGTTAACTGGGCATCTGTAGGATGAGGCCCTGTAGTGTATATTATGTGCGGATGACATAGTTTTGATTGATGAGATTAGAGGAGGCATTAACGTAAAGTTATAACTTTGGAGGTATGCTCTAGAATCTAAAGGGTTTAAAATTCGCCAGACTAGTACAAAATATATGGAATGCGAGTTGGTAGCTATAGGAGTAGAAACGAGGAAGTAGTTAAGATTGATGACTAAGAAATGCCTAAAAGATATTATTTTCAAAATATTGGGTCAATGGTCTAGTAGAATTGAGAGATTGTTCACATGTCGCGCATAGTATAGAGCTAGGTGGGCAAAGTGGAGATGTGCATCCAAAGTTTTATGTGGTCGTTGCATACCAATGAAAGTAAAAGAGACATTTTATAGGACGGTTGTAAGACCAGCCATGCTTTATGGAACGGAATATTGGGTGGTCAAGAAACAATATATCCATAGGATGAATGTAGTTGGGATGAGGATGTTATGATGGATGAATGGCAAGATAGGAAAGGATAGAATTTGGAATGAATGCATACAAGAGAACTTAGGGGAGGCTCCAATAGGCTATAAGGTAAGGGAAAGTAGACTTAGGTGGGCTGGCCATGTGCAATGTAAACCTAATACAACATGGGTTAGAAGGGTTGATTTTGTACTAGTGGAAGGATTTAAAAGAGCAAGGGGAAGGCCTAAAAGGACATAGATGGAGGTAGTGAGAAGAGATAAGTTGACTTATGGTTGGACTAAGGGTATGGCCCTTGATAGAGCAAAATGGTGGAACACGATTCATATTGCATCCCTAAATAGTTGGGATAAGGCTCGGGTGATGATGAATTAACTCAAGAAACAAAATGGGAATGTGTTTTGCTAAGTAGATGCATGGTTGATGTTTATTTAAGATTGTCAGAGAATACAATGTAACATAATGAGGGAATATCATAAACTACCAACTAGTAGTGTGGAGCCTTGTAGTCATTAATGGGCTATTTGCAATTCTTCGGGGGCAGAAGTTAGAACTTAGAACCCTGCTGACAGTCATGATAACTTTCCTCCACTTCTTCGTAGGTACCTTGATGTGGATGGTGATTCCATTAACTCCATTACATGAGCCCTTTGAATGATAGTTTATCCTTAGAAAATTAAAATTTCATGGAAGATTTTTAGAGGGGTGCCTTGATACGTATTTCTATCTCCCATGTTCATAGAAAGTCTAATTGTTAGTTGGGTCTCCGTGCTAGGAGATTTGGAACTCTCAATTATCTCCTTCTGACTTGACCTTTACTTGCTTTTTGTTTATTTGTTTATGTACTTATTTATGTATTGTCGTTCCTTTTAATTATCTTTTTTGAGTAGGTTAGAAGTAGAGTCTTCTTTTCTCACTTTCATTTATTTTTCTGGTTACGTCGCCTTGCTCGTGTGCATTTGCAGTAATGTTTTCTGGTTATGACTTATACTTTTATGCAGCAATTGAAAGTAGGACTATGTGACCCAAGCAAGTATATACCGATTAAAATTTTGCTTCCTTTTTCTTTATTTTACCACGTGGATCACTTACAAGTGTCCTAATACAATAAATGAACCAATAAAAACACAAATAATGTGAATGACTCTCACATGCTGGCCATCAAAACAAAATCTCATTCATAACATGAATCCGAAAATTACATAATACTTGAAAAAATAAGAAGACATGAAATAAAGCATGACCACAGACCTTGCCTCAGGTTACCCCTAAGGACTTTTCACACCCCACACCGGGTCTCCTCCACCAATGGTGCAAAGGATTTAGGTCCAAACTTGTCTCATAACTTGGGAAGCCTAGGAAAAAACACCAGAGAGCACGACATTGGTTAGGGCTAAACCAAAGCACAACTCATGTGCACAACTCAACACATATGGGCCAGGGTGTCCCACTCCTTGTGGCTTGATCGTGCATCCCGTAGGGTTTCTCAACTTCCTAAACCCGAAGTTAGCAAGAGAGATTAGAGAGGGGCGTGCCAGCCCTAGGGTTCAGAGGGAGAGAGAGGGGCTAAGTCAAGGTGTAAGTATTTATAACATGGAGGCTAGGGTTTTGAAGGTTAGGGCTTTGCCATCATTGTGACACTGAATCTTATTCTTTGATCATGTAAACCTGTGAGGTGAAGAGATCTCATCCATTCATTCCTTAGATCAACCATCTTGATAAAAGGAAGGAGGTGGAAACATTATTCTGCAGTTTCTGTAAATCTATTTTCGTCAAATATTGTGTAGAAAAAACAATATATTTATGCAAATCAATTTCAATTAGTCTCTTACACTTTCCTATTTGAAATCAATCAAAATCTTTGCAAAACACTTTCCATAAATTTCAAACAAAGTGCATGGCTTCATTCATAAGCCACCAGAATAGGAAAGAGAGGCGAAGTGGGCGTCCCACTCATATGAGGCCCTTGTGGGCCCCAAGCTCCACTTGTGATGGGTCCAAAATAATCCCGATGGGCACACCTTAATTTATATTTTAGAACATTAAAAGGAATTTTATAAACCATTTAGCATTTTATTTTATTGTCTGATTAAATAAATCCATAAATCTATTAAAAAATTATTTTTCAATAAAATAAAATACTTAGAGAAATCTAAAAATTTATTTTAATTGTCTAAAATATAATTAAAACATAATTAAACATATTTAAGAAGATTTGATGGGAATTGCATCTATAGAGTTAGGATTATAACAAATAAACTACGGACTCCATCTTTTCTAGAAACCGTATCTCACTACACCTTTTCAAATTAGCCCAATAGTTCCTATAACCCAATAACCTTTAGTAGGGGTTCATTATTTGATTATCAAAGTCAGCCAATAAAGGAAGGAGACATAATCCTAGTCCATGGTCCCTCCCTGAGGACAAGTCCATACCCCATTCCAATACTATGCTCTATTGTCCTTCTAACACAGTCCAGTGTTGCGAGGACTTATCTCTTCGGCACATGTACGCAATACACACCCTTGGCCACTTCCTGGACGGCTATTTAGTGTACATGTCGTGTGATGGTAATGATGAGGAGTTTGACCCTTGTCCTCTCCGTCTAACCATCACACACAGGGGTCACATCCAATCCCTTGGCCAACCGCTCCAGGCACAACTTCGACCTCATCAAGGGATAACCCCATATTGAAACCCTTATCGGTTGTGCTCAAAATGCCAGGGCTGCAGCTTTTAGACATCAACTTGAGCCATAGCCAGTCAAAGCTCAGGTGTGTCTCTTCTCAGCATTAGTAATGCCTCATAGTCCAATATGGACCACACTCCCATTGGAGCCAACATTTCACTATAATAATTTCAGTACATGCTCTCATAAAGCCTTTAAATGGCCACATAATCCCGTTACCAATTTGACCTTTCTTAATGGATAAAATTAATACACAGCCTTCCTACAATTCTGTAGTTAAAAGGTTGGACTCATCAGTCCATTAGGTGATGAAATTTAACTATTTGCATATGATTGATAGAGATTAGATAATTCCTTTGCTTGACCAAATTCTAAATTTCGATATAATTAGCTTCTATGTGCTGAATGAAATGCTAGTTTGGCCAGTTTATGATTGAAACAGGTCATCCTCTTGTATACACTATACTTCACATTTTTTTGGGATTTTGTAGTACCAGTCAACCTCCTTTCTTGTGAGCATCCATGATGTTGTTGCCGGCTTGCATTGTCAGGTGTATAACTTGGATGGAAAAGGACATTACCCACTTGTTGCCTGAATAGTAGCATAGAAACTCGAACAGATGACTGAACTTCAGCCTGGGTGAATTCGCAAGCTACCTGATGTGGGCCATGCACTGAATTGTAGACTTCGATTCGTAATGGCAGACTTGCTCAAGTCAAATGACATTGGCAACTCCTACTCGAGTCCCTAAAAGATACCTTTGGTAGTATTTGGAAAGCCTAAGGTGGTCAGGCTTGAGGGTTTGGCTCATTAGGACCATACCGAAACCTACTGCTGACCTGAAAGACACATTTTTATTGGTTTTGCTGAAAAAGAGATGCTTCAAACTTGATTTCAGAGTCCCAAACAGAAAATGTTGAAATTTGTTTTTTTGGAAAATGTTAAACGGTGAAAATGTTGAAGTTTGTTGTTTTTCTTTTCTGAACCATTGATGGGCAACCAACAGTGGAGCACCATGAAGAGCTGATGGTGCACACGTCCTATCATGTTAAAGTTTTGATGGTAATTAATGCAATTTATTTTCTTGAAGTTGCTTGTTTTATTTGAATTTCTTCTCAATAGATGAACCTCTAAGCAAAAGTCTCATGGATCACTTACATTGGAGATTATAGAAAGTTACTAATTTTTGCCGCGTTGCAGTTTGTGCAGCCTGACCCAACATACCTACTGATGGATCTTGTTTTGCGACATTATTTTTATCGAACTGTGGGCATCAGTATCTGTTTTACATATTGGGGTTGTTATGTGTTTTACATTTTGGGATTGCTTAGGAATTTCTAAGGGGAGTCGGTTTGGGCTATCCAAGTTGAAGGTTCCTGCAGGGGGTAATGGTGGATGGTGAGAACAGAAGCAACATGAAGATCGTTGTGGGGATATGCAGGCCAATGCTTGGTACTAGTCTGATGCTGGTAAATGATTCAGATAAATTCATGATTGGAAAGCAGGGTGGCAAAGGACTCCCTCAATGAGGTTAACCAAAGCAAAGGTCAGGGGCTTACTCAAGGAATTGATATTCTAGATGCTTGGCTCCACATGAGATTAGGTGGCCACAAGATCATGGGATGGGGTTCCAGTGGGATTAAGTACTGGAGCCCTTTCTAGGTGTCGGACTTGTGCACGTGAGGCTTGTATATTTGGATGCATGTGAGGCTTGTATATTTGGATTCCTTGGAAATACTTCTGTTTACCTCCAGTGCTTGTTGCATAAAGCTTTAGTAATTTAAATAGAAATAAAAGAAGATTGTCCTCAACCACTTGGCATGAGCATCAGTGTTCGCAAAACCGGCCGATCTAACCGCTAACCGACCAGTTAGATCTCCGGTTTTGGTGATCAACCAGTATTTTATACGTTAAATAAATTAATACTTCCAATTTGTATCATATGCGTTATGTTGGTTTATTGGATAGCATTAACGAGTACCTTTTACCTTAATCAGCTTCGAATCCCGCTAGTGTTCCTTTTTTATAAGAATTTGTTCATAAAATCATTTCATTGGTTCAAAAATATTTATTCTCTTTCAATGAAGTCCTCTATTACTAGACACACTAACCAATATGCCATTAATTACTTAATTGATAAAAATAAGGGCCAATATTATATATAACATAATGTTTTTTTCATTTTCTTTAAAAAAAAAAAAGATCATTTTCTTTAAAAAGAAAAAGAGTTGGTCTAGTCGATTTTTTTAACACTATTTTAATATTCTTTACATTATGGTAAAAATGAAAAACCATTTTGGTCATTGATACTTACTTTATATTTTTCTATCTTTTTCATAAAATTTTAAAAATACCTCTAGGCACAAATCGACTCGTTAAAATCCATTTTCTCATCAACTTTCAACTTCATTTGAGTGTGTTTTGTTTTAATCACATTCTTTATATGCTTTTCATATTTTAGAAGATTTTTTTGTATTTTTTTTATTTTTTCAACACTTTTTTTATCATTCGAGACTTGCCCGGTTAGAGCGGTTGAATCGGCCGGTTTACCGGTTAGGCCGGTTAAATCACTTCCAGGCCCATGTCCGGCTAACGGTGATTTAACATAAAGAAAGAAAAACAAAAAGGCAATGTCTTCACTGTTAAATATTCTAGATTTTATGGTTTGAGTAACCTGGTATTTATCCAAAGAAAATAAAAGACAAAAACAAGAGTAATATCCAGAACTATCTAAGGAGATCACACAACAGGTTTGAGTGAAGAAAATTACCATTCAGAAACCTTTTAGGGCTGTCTTGTATTTGGCTCGATGTGTGCATGTAGTAATCGTTGATGGAATTGCTTTTATCTAATAGTATCTAACTAGATGAATGCTTCTTATTTGCTTCCTTTGTTATGCACATGCAGAAAGGTTGTAATCCTTGACACAGCTTGCGATCTGCTCATGCAGTTTCATTGTAGATTGATTCTGCATAATGTTTCTTTTTAGTGAAATTGATTCTGCGTAGTTTAGATCTCTCTTTCTCAATTGTAGCATTTTGAATATATTCTTTAATGCTACCAACAGTGGGGTTTTTGGCCATGTCATGTGATGCAGCTTTCCTGTGCGTGATTTGCTTCCCAGCGAATTAATTTGTTATAGTTTCTTCAATGTTCATTTGATGGACCCTGTTCCATTTCTTTTACCAGGTTTTTTCACAATGCCGCAATTGGTCAGCAGAATTGGAGTGATAGGTGTCACTGTCATGGCTGTGCTATCTGGCTTTGGAGCTGTTAATCTACCATATAGCTATTTATCTCTCTTCATCAGGTTACTTGAATAGATTACTAGCTTCAAGAGTTGCAATGTGCATTCCTATGAAGATAAAAATAATTGTATATTTCTCAAGATAAAAAGTTGTAGAGCAACTGTTCCTTACAATTTTTGCTGTTTCACTGTACAGCTCATGCTGTTTCGACCACTAAATGAGCTATTCATATCATTTCATAAGTATGGCATATGTCAGTTTTCTGGATCCAGTTTTTCCTGATCTATTATTTTTATTATATTCCAATGTACGATAAAAATATCTTATGGAAATTCTGTTTGAAGGAAGGAAATGTCCTTTTGAGGCACATTGTGGGCTCAGAGTGGGGCAGGGCAGATCTCGAATTAGAGTATGTCGAGGAATTGTCACCCTGAATACAACTGCCATGGGTTCTGAATATCCTCTTCATGACTGAATCCAACTAATTCCCCATTGAAGATTTATTAACATACTCTAACTCTTCCATCAGGACGAGTATTTTCTGATTTGAACAGGAAATCACTCCTATTTGACTGGAATTTTGAACCCCCCAAAGGGATGGTGGCTTCACCACTAGCTTGTTCTCCTCCTGGGTACTGTATGGCCACATTTTTCTTAAAGTCTACTGTGGAAATTTAGTAAAACAAGTTCTTTGCTGAACCCGAAGGGCACCCAGCCACGGAGAATTAAATAATTCCTTCGTCACACTGCCCTCACCCTTGCTTTTTAGCAGGCAAGACCAGGAAAAAAAACGTTTGCTTACTCTGCTCTGTCGTACAACTCCCTCCGGAGCAGCACCTCTAGGAGGCATGTGAATTTAAGACTGTGACTTTCAAAGTTTCCCACTGGCAATTCTGTCTTCCAGTGTTGCTTAATTTCTGCTGATTGGGAGCTTGCTGGCTATGAATCCATGAAAAGATGTAGCTAATGCTGACAATAACTAACCTCTAGTTTCATGCTATCCTCTTTCTTGTGTTCTGACTTTGAGATTATCTGCACGAAACTTTGAAACAAAGGAGAGAGAGAGAGAGAGAGTGCAAAAATGCACAAGGATGGAGAGAAAATGGTTATGTTTTATTAAACTTGTGATGCCTACCACATGAACCGTTCTGCTATTTGAACTGTGCAATAAGGAAATTGGTTGTTGAGTGAGCTTGCTATTTAGGAAAATAAAGAAAGAAAAGAAAGAGAGAAAAACGGAATTGGGCATTGAGATTGTTTGCAGTGTAGCGAAGTAATAGGAAATCCCAAGTCGTGAATTTAGTCACATTGCAAATTATTTCGTTATAAGTAGAGGGCATTACCATGTAATCCGCTTCCGTCATAGATTGAGATGTGGAGTCTTGTTACTTACACTTTTGGGAAATCAATGATAGTCCAAGGATGATGCAAAAGCTTGTAGTAGAACAGCTTGAATCATAACTGATCCAATTGGCTTAGGTGTTATGCAACGACGCCTGTGGGAGAGGTGGCAGGGTACTGAAGTGCATTATCTTGTTCCGCCCCATGTGTATATTGAAATATGTGGTGAACTGCAAGCATATGAAGCCCATAAAGATTGAAGATTTACTGAATGAAATTGTGGACATGGTTTCTATGTCTGTGTGAGTCTTTTGTGAAAATGCTAAGCAATTGACAAGCCTCATATATAGTGTGGGAACTTCTAATGATCCTCCCATCTTTGGAGTACTTCACATTGGAGTCCAAGGGGTCATCAAGTTATCAGCTATCTTTTTTTCTTCGATGGCTATCAACTATTTTTTGAGCTGATAGATTTGCCATGGCCAAAAGAGCACCTGCAAGTTCCTCGAGAATTTAAATGATCCCTCTAGTTGATATGAACTGCCTCATAAAATCTCAGGTTATACAAAAGAAGAGAGTATCAGGACATGTATCTAAGTTCTGCACAGTTTTCCAGGAACTTAGACTCACTTGAGCTAGCTCTCTTTGGTTTTATTACAATCAGTGTTTTAAAATGCGGGATGCAGTCCCAATGTGGTCAAGTGGCCGACGCGGTAATGCAGTTCAATGCGGTCCAGATGCAGGCGCATCACCCCGATGCGATCAATAAATATAAAAATTCTAAAAAATATCGAAAAATAGATTAATGCATTAAAAAATATGGAGGTGATTTATGTGATAGTAGGTATTTAATTTATTCATTAACTCCAATATTATCAATTGTTTAGAGACTATGAATCCCCTGTTAGAAAGTTGAAACTAGAAACTCGAAAGTAACTTTATAGAAAACATTAGAAGACATCATATTATCATAATTCATAAATATCCAAAAACCATAATTACAATTACAAACTTGGGCTTGAAACCCTCGAGATGTTGATGAACCTACGCTCAAACTTCTTCAAAACAACGCCCAAGCTAATCCAAATTGAAAACCCTACCGACAACCAAGAGCAAATTGATAATTTTTGCAGAAACGATTTCGACCTAAATTTTTTTCTCTTCATTTGATCCAAAAACAGACACAAATGGGGCTATTCTTTGTGTTTGGGGGGCTTTAATAACCCCCCAAAACCCTTGCCCCCCTTTTTGGGGGGGGGGCGGAATGACCCAAATACCATGCTCGTGGGCACCTTTTTCGCCCACAAGCTATTCGGTGCATATGTGGGCACATCCCACCAAAGCGCATATGTGCTCCTAGGCGATGTGATTTGGGGTGCATAGCACATTATGCAGCCGCATATGCGGTGATGCGGCTGCATTTTAAAACAATGATTACAATTTTAAAAAAATCAATAAAGAAGGAGCAGGTGCAAGCAAACCAACGAGGATAAAGATATCATGTATGTGTTTTGGTATTTCGGCAATGCCCTCTCATATTGGTTATAGTCTATATTTTAATATCAAATATAGAGTGACCGCCTCCTTGAGGCTTCCCCTATGCTTTTTACCGGGTTTGGACATATTATTACCTCAGAATGTTGCAACTTCAAAAATTGTTAAAATCAAGTTAAATGCTTGTTTCATTGAGTTGTGCAGAGATTGAGTTCATTTCTTTCTCCCATGGTTTGGAACTATTGATCCGAAAGTGTTTCATATTATGTATGTCACTATATCATATCTGTTTCTTTCCAATTATTGAGACGTATGCTTTCAAATGGCATTGTGAACCAGCCTACTAAATGAGAGTTTTGATTACAATTATTAGACTTCTAACCGGTAACATCTTGCTATGTTAATCTTAACAAATGTCTAATGATTACCAACTGTTTAAGACATTAATAGTTGCTAGCTGCTGTTGATGCTGGGCTCCTTACTTTGTGTATAATTTAATGTATTAGGGAGATTGAGGAAGCTGATATCAAGGCTTTGGAAAGGCAGTTGATGCAATCCATAGAAACCTGTATCACAAAGAAGAAGAGGATTATCCTTTCACGAATGGAGATGGAACGTATACAAGGTTCACAAGAGGTAGGGCAAGTTTGATCCTCCCCCTTATTCATTCCTTCTCTAACTCTATGTTGCTTTCTAATTTAGATATTTATATTTGTTTGAATTTTTTGGTCTCATAAGGGTGAGGACTTTAAACTTTCCCTGAACCCATACCAGGCCCGAATAAAAGTGGTGGGTTGCATTAGATGGGCAGCCAACGTAAAACTTTTTCACACCTTTCATGATTCCTAAACTTTGTTATAGGAAAAGATATGGTGACTGTTGGTCTTATTGAGAGTATGACCCTTGATAGAGAAAAATGGAAGAACAAGATTCATGTAGCTAACCCCTAATAATTGGGATTAGGCTTAGATGATGATGATGATGCTGATATTTATTAAAATAACACTAAATTTTAGTTGAATGTCAGAAAGACTGCTAAAAGAAGTAAACGAGGCAGTCAAATATGGCATGAAGTCCTCAAACAGCTTTAAATCTGGTAGCACTTCACATAAAATCTCACCTCATTGTCCCACTCCTCCATAAGGTGGTTGACCTCTCTACGCTTTTGTTTACATGAGCAATTATAGAGAACCTAGATTTATGCCCAACTCTCTTGCACTATTGCCCTCTCTTTTAATCCACTTGTCCACTCTTAACATTTTTTCCATATCCAAGTCTCCGAGGATGAAGAAAACATTAGCATATTATTTGATACCTTTATAATTGCCATCAACTTTAGCATTGTAATTTTTTTGTCATAACTTGAGTACTCTTTCAACGCGACTGTTCCTCAATGCTAGACTAGAGAAATATACTAGACCTCAACATACAGTTCTGAAGCAAACATATGTTGCTTGGAATCTTTCCATGTATACTTGATGTAAAAGGTCCAAAGTGGATTATTTGAGATAGAACCACTGCTTGCATCTTCTTGAATGGGTTCGCTTACTATCTTGATTTCTGAATGTGAAATAGTTTTCTGCTTGATGAACATGGCTGGAATAAGCTTTCCATGAGGACAAATTGGTTTCTTATCATGAAATTTTTGCTTCTCTCATTTCTTATTATGGATCACATTTGCAGAAGTTAAAGGCAAGGTCATTCCTAAAACGTTTGGTTGGGACAGTTGTCCGCTCAGTTCAGGATGATCAGAAGGAGCAGGGTAAGATCTTGTTCTTTCTAATTTAGTTCTTTTGCTAATTGTCCTTTTCATTTGTTCTTCAATGCATTTCAATGTTCACTTTCTAGGAGTTGCATACTTCCTGTGATAGGACAGCTATAGGAGTCTCTATATTTGTGTGCCCTCGCGCCCATTGTGCATGTTTCTGTCTTAGTAACTTCAGATTCATCTTTATTTTTGAATTTTTTATCTCTTATCCAATTTTTGTGGAACACTTAAAAGGCTAATTCATTAAACTGTTAAAAAATGCTGTTAGTAGAGCATATCATAATCATCTTAGACTTATAAAAAATTCATAATTATCTGTCTCTAGTTGGCACCTTTCTACTTGCCTTAAGAACTTTAGGGTACAGCACTCTTTTACTGTTGGAAGTGCATATAGTTTAACGAAAGAGACAGACAATGATGCCTCCAGTATCAAACTTACACAGGATATTCTGTATTTTGTGCTTCATTCTGATCGTGGTCTGTATACATACTGTGTACACCATTCTTCTATAGGAAAAGTTACCAATGTGAATCAACTTTAATGTGTGAAGTGCTTTTTGGCTTTTAATTTTCTAGCCTAGTGTTTTTATTTGATTTTTCTATTGCTGATGATCAATGATGTGTTGTTCATGGTGATTTTCAAAGATATAAAAAGCATGGAAGCGGAAGTGCAAGCTTTGGAAGAGCTCTCAAAGCAGCTATTTTTAGAAATTTATGAAATGCGTCAAGCAAAGGTCCACTCCACACCTCCCAAAAGAACACTATAATTATTCTTTACTTAAGACAATTCTCCCAGGTGTTATCACATGTTTGGTAAATCTTATATACTCGATTTGTTTTTTATCATAAGCTACATTTACCAGTTGCTTCTTTTGTGTAATATCAACTTGGTTGTCTCTTCTTTGTGGTCTGTCAATTGGTTTCTTTAAATTCTGTTGAAATTGGTCTAGAGATTGGAGATTAGCTCTTCTTGGCATCTTCTACAGCTGTTTCTTTTATGATTCATTTTTTTAATGGTAAGATTGGATATAACTTTAATTAATAAGATAGCATTAACTAATGAGGCTAGCAACTTATCAAAAAAAAAAAAAAACTAATGAGACTAGTGACAGCATCAATGCAAAGTTAGAACTTTTGGAGGGATGCTGTAGAATCTAGAGATTTTAAAATTAGCCAGATTAAAACATAATATATAAAATGCAAGTTTAGTAATAATAAGAGTAGAAACGAGGAATTAGTTAAGATTGATGGCCAATAAGTACCTAAAAGCGATTATTTTCGATATCTTGGGTCGATAATCCATGAGAATTGAGAGATTGAGGAAGATGTCGCGCATAGAAATAGAGCTGGGTGGAGAAAGTGGAGATATACTTCTGAAGTCTTACATGATCGTTGCGTACCAATGAAACTGAAGGGGAAGTTCTACATGATGGCTATAATACCAGCCATGCTTTATGAGAGAATGTCGGGCAGTTAAGAAACAACAATTCATAAATGAGTGTAGTTGAGATGAGGATGTTGAGATGGATGAGCGGCAAGACAATAAATGATAGAATTCGGAATGAATATATCCAAGGGAACTTAAGGGTAGCTCCAATAGGCGATAAGATGCAGGAAAGTAGACTTAGGAGGTTTGGCCATGTGCAGCGTCCACCTAGAACAACACTGATTAAGAAGGGTGATTTGGTTCAAGTTCAAGGCTCTAAAAGGACAAGGGGAAAGCCCAAAAAGATATGGATAGAAGTAGTGAGAGGAGATATGGTGACTTATAGTCTGACTAAGGGTATTGCCCTTTATAAAGCGGAATGGCGGAGCATGATTCTTGTAACCAACCCCAAATAGTTGGAATAAGGGTTGAATGATGATGATGATGATAAGATTGGATATGTTTATTATGCATTTTATGTTTGGATGCATGTTATTGACTTGATAAGGTCTAAGAGTTTTATTATGTGTCTGGTATTATAAGGGCAATCCCAAACATTTTGCCGAGCGGGGTGATGTCGGCTTGTAACCTTAATGGGGGCAAACAGGTAGTTTGGATCGTGGGCGTGGTCGCTTTGGTGGTAGTGGTGGTGCCCTAGCCAATGCGTGCTGGTCGAAGCTAGGAGACATTGTGGCTTGCCCTCTTGAAAGGAGTGGAGCAGGCCATGACATAGAGAGGGGGGGAACCTCATCAGACTGAGCACCTCCCGCTCTTAACATGTTGATGCCCCTTTGTCTCATCAGTTGCCATCGAGATCCACTCTAACATGGACAATCCCTTTTATATGGAGCAAAAGTCTGCTTCATAACTGAGATGGAGCAATCGAGAAAACACTCGAGTAGGCCCCTACACTCAACTTCAGATGGGCACCCTCCTTTGTTTCACATGCCTAGATGCCATACATAGGTTGAAGGAGGGGCTACTGATGCTATTAAGTTATTAACCAAGACTAGGTGGTGCCCTAGCTGATGCTATCGTCCATACATTGCATATCTTAGGGATCAAGGTCCCAACCCTTTTGGAAACCTATGTCCCAACCTTTTGGGAATCGTGCTTCCAGCCGTTTGGGATCTTGCAAGAAATTATTACGAAATGAGTTCCATATGGCAAAAGTTTTGAGGTTCTAGAGTATCCTTAACCAAGAATCATTTAGTATTGGAGTCGACGGGTTGAGTGCCGTTAGCCAGGGTTCCCCTAGTATTGGATTCGCGGCCCTCAACTGCTTTAAACAAGGGTTCCTGACAACAATGATTTGACCCGTCAACTTCCGGGGCTATGGGTAGTGAGTCACTTTTCCGATTTCATAAGGAGGCTGAATAACTTATCACTACTGCTCCAAGGCCCAAGTTGAAGCTGGCTTGTCGCTTGACACCAACTTGTAACTCTTTGTTAATAACTTGGTAACTCTAGATGGTTGCATTTGAATCTCAATGCTACACAAAACTTTGATCCCATGTTGATCGAAGCATGGTTCGGCACACCTATGAACCCTGGGATCTGATGTGGAATCTGGATCCCAAATAATTAGGATCAGCATTCCTGAGTAGCGGGGAGAGAGAATCCTAAACTGAAAAATATGAGATTCCTTGAAGATCCCATGTCTGAAGAACAAGAGTGATATCTTGGAGTAGAAACACCACCTAAGGTGGAAAATTCAGGCAAGGATGAGAGGGGCATCATAACTCCTTTGCTTAGTCAAATGGGATTAGAGCATGTAAACCAAAATGCAAAAAAGAGCCTTGGCCTTGGGAAAATCAGCAAGACCAAACAGGCCTTGCTGATAAAGTGGTGATTGAGTTCGCTATTCAGAAAGACCACCTTTGGATGAAAGTAACAACTAGGAACTGTGGGGAAGGATCATCAAGGTGGCTGGTTAAGGCACATTGGAGTTGGCTATGCCTATCAGGTATTTGGAACGGAATAAACAATCGTTTTGAATTCCATAAGCAACATCAGGATGCAAGTTGGAAACCGAACAAACACGTGATTCGGGCAACACCTGTGTCTTCGGGACAGCCCCTTAAGGATCGCTTCTCAGAGGTGTATTGTTGGCAGTAAAACCAGAACTAGAAGTGGCAGAGGTAACGAAAAGATCTGGGTACAGCACCATATGGAATCCATGTTTCGGAAGGGACTTAAAGGATTAAGAGATTTAAGTGTTTGAGAACCTGAAGGCAGCGCTACAGCAAGTATTTCTCAGGCTAAGTAGGAAGAGTATAGTGGGCCCCTTAGTCAAGGAGATTTTTGGGTGAAGTCAATATACTACTCTGTAAAATGAATTAGTGATGCTGATCGTAGTGTTAGGGAGGTGTGGTACATCAACCTGTAAGCACAGGCCTTTGTGTGGCTGAGTGTACCTGAAAAATCCTCACTGTTGACCACCTAAAGAGTAGAGGTATGTCCATCCCTAACATCAGGTATAATGTGCAAACAGAATAAAGAAACAGTGGACCATTGGTTTTTACAGTGTAATATGGCAAGGATATAGAGTTTTGTTTTAAATATGTTTGATATGTATGGGTAGTGCCTCATTCAATTGAGTGTTGTTTCCATAGTTCAACCCACTATTGCCAAAATTGGGGCTAATACTATGGAGAATGTTCATGGTGGGGGTAATATGGGGCATATGGCATGAAAGGAACAGAAGGTGCCTCAGAGATGAAAAGACATTGGACACAATGGATGAAGGACAGTATCAAGGCCACTGCAACATCATGGGATCAAGAATGGAAAGCATGTTGGCATTTGCCAGCTGCAGATGAATACCAGTGGAAGAACTTTGTCAATACAAACATTAAAAGGCAGAAGAAGGTAAAATGGACTTTGATGGGAAATTCTAAAGGGGATCCTGGTCGGCAGGTGCAGTGTATTGTACGGGATTACCGCAGAAGAACCCTCTTGACATATTCTTCCCTGTTACATATATCAACTTCAATGAAGCAGAGGCAGTGCCCTGCCCTTCAGTATAAAGACTTTCTATTCAATCTGGGCTTCCATAATCATAGAAGGCGAGTCGAGCAATGTGATTCCCTGGGGTCAAAAAGAGAATTCCTGCCTGGTGTTTTAGTTCTAACAAGAACTGGGTTAGGCTGAGTCACCTTAGAGCATGCATAAATACTTGGGGAGAGAAACCAATGAAGAAGCCGATGCTTTGGCAAGGATAATCTTAAACCCTTCCTTGATAATTATTTAGTGAGTACTGGGTACAATTATAAATCTTCATGTTTAGTATTTTTGTGAAGTGTGTGTGGTGGTACAACAATAGAGTCTTGTGTAATGGACTCACTTTTGTAGATTGGAAAATACACTTGCCTTCACTGGTTTACTCAAGCAAGGAGTATAGTTTATTGTTTCTTCCTGAGCTTCCTCTTGTCTAAACCTAGTCTTGTATATCTTATTTTGGTGGTAGGGGTGGGCTCGAATCCACCTAGCACGAGGTTGAAACTTGAGACAGCAAGGGCAAGCATGAAAAGTAATCATTGTAAACAATTGCAGAATGAACTACCCTTTGCTTGACTCATAGGTTATATATATGGCAATACGTTTGAAAGCGATGACATAACCATGAAATATATAAACGCAGTGACATACATGAATTGTACAGTTATAATTAACAAGTTGATGATTCTGCTTGCCCTCAAGTTGGAGAGAATGGTTGACATTTTTCATTCTTAAAGTATCATGCTGGTCACCTGCAAAGTTTTGGCAAATGTGTTTACCATTTGAATGATTTAGGGAAGATAATAGATATGAAATTTAAGATTTTTCCCATGGCAAACTCCCAATAATCCTAGATGAAACTGTGTGGGTCTATGTACTATGGTCCTAGTGTCTCACTCAGTTACCTGTGGCATACGATCAGATGGGTGTAGTTAGTAATTGCATGAAAAAAGCAAAGCATGCATATTCCTCCCCATACATTTAATGGCATTTATGCAAACATTGTTTCTAATTTTGGGTAGGGCAGCTGGGCTTCAAACCTTGGACATTGTGTTTCTGGTCCTCAATGCCTGAACCATCAACTCCAGATACATCATAACCAGCCCTGAACCCAACACGCAATAGCATCGTTTCATTCTGAAAAATAACATGCACACATTCTTTTATGCTTGTCATGAACAAGTTCCCAGTTTTTATTTATTTGCAATTTTTGGGACTTGTTTCCATGAAAAGAAAATATATTTAACATCAGCGTATGTAGAGTACCATGCTGAAATTAAGGTTTCAGGTTCATTCTTATCTTTTCCTTTTTATCTCCTGTTATTGGAGCCTTGGGAGGGCGGGAGGTTTAACCTACCCCACTATCCTTCTTTTCCTTTGTTTCTTTTCAAATTATAATGCAACTGTTACACTATTATATCTAGGGAAGGGTTGTGCCCCCTTCCATGGAAACTAGGTGGGACCATGTGTGGCATGATGGTAGCCGTCAAGGGTGCTAATTTTTCACTCAGCCAAACTGTGTGGTATTGAGCCTAAGTCGAACCCCGATTCAGGCGAGGCTAGCCTTCCACAAGCCCACTCAAGAGGAATGGAGCAAACAATCACATAAGGCACCCACAAAGTTATAGGCTTGATTGTAAGCTGCCATGGATGCCCCTCAATGGTCCGGGCAAAGGGTATATATAGCTCCAAGTGTACATCAAAACACTCGTCCTAATTTACATCGGCCATTAAGGCCTGTACCACTATTACTACCAACCATCTGGTGTGGCAGTTAAACCAGCCAATACCCCACCATCAATGACTACCCACGTGGCTCATTAAGGGTTTGGTCAACCCACTCCACGTGTCATTACTGCCCATGCATGTCACATCAAATATGCATGAACATTACAGCTCTTAATGCCCTCTTGGTCGTCCTCAATAGCCTTCACACATAAGGGTCCACACCTGCCCAGTCAGGTTTATGGTCAGTTGCCTCTTGCGTATGGTCCATACCATTTCTCGTTAGGTTAGGCTGCCCATAACCTTGCCTCAATCCATTGGTCGCATGGGTCCACTAGGTCTCACTGACTTTAGCCATTCGTACTCACTACTTGCCTAAGGCCTTGCTCCAATGTCATCAGTTACTAGCCCACATGTGCTCATGCTCTATGCACCACGCTGCACCAGCCTCACCTCCCACCCAAGACTGGTCAAGGCTCACGGTACTCAACTCCCTCATAAAGGTTTGTCGGGATAAAGAACTGAACTGCCAGGAGAGAGCTAAATCCACCATAGTAGCATAAGTCTGTACAAGACTTGCAGGCCCTTTGCGAAATGTTTTCGTTGCTAAGGTATTCCGTGCCCGCTTAGCCGGCACGCATGAGGCTAAGCAAAGAGGTCTAACTGTGGCCCACAAAGGAGCCATGCTCCCATGGACTCAAAGTATCTAGTCTTTCTTTCATGTCTTTCTCTCTCTATGATTGTTACTCTCTCTCTCTGCCTTTGACTTTATTTATTTCCATGTAGTTAATCAATTCCTGCAATAAAAAAGGAAAGCAAGTAATAGGTCCACAGGGACGATCTAGGGTTCTTACTCTTTCCTATAATTATATTTGAGTTGATAATATTGTGAAATAATCTATGTAATTTTTCAAATTGGTTTAAATTTCCAATTCATTTCAGGAGGCTGCTGCTTTTTCTCGAACATGGAAGGGGCACTTGCAAAATTTTCTAGGCTATGCTTGCTCAGTGTATTGTGTGTATAAAATGTTTAAGGTATGGGCTTATTGAATCTCTAGAGTGATTTCTGTTTTAAATTATTTTTCTACCAAGATGTCAAGTTCATTGTGGTTTATTTGAAAATCAAACAAACATATGGTCGAGAACATTAGGGCAAAAACGACAGTTTCAGAGTAATATCTATCTCTTTTCTTTCACTTTATCTATGCATATGCATGTATTTGATGTATGTGCGTAATTGCGTAGCTATGTAATGCGCTATGTGAATATAAAATGTTTCCTTCCATAGGGTAATGATATATTTAGTTTAGTTCTACTAAGAAATAATGTCTTATGACAATGGAATAATGCAGAAGTTTAGCACAATTAGATTATGTAGCTTGTGAAGATATAAGAGAGGTATGAGTTTTACAAGAAAGCTATTATTACTTTAATTTTTTTAGGTAAGTGAAAGCTATTATTACTTGCCCATTGAATTATGCCCCTAGCCCCTACAGAACTCTTATGCCTAACATACTGCTTTTCTTACCTTCTCAACATTTGTACGTCTTGATGGTGAATATTGTGGATATGTATTCCACCAAAACGAGGATCAGGCTGCCTCTTGTATACAAATTACAATCATAGCAATAGCAAGATGTACTTGGAATGAAAGATACAACACCAAACTATGCATGGCAAACCAAAAAACACTAAAACATGTATAGGAAAATTGACAAGTTGCCTTCTCAATTGGAAATCTCATTGCATCTCATCATGATGATATGAAACATGTACTTTGTGGTACCTTTTTACCATTTATGCTTTTAATTTTTGCATTTTCAAATAACTTGAAGGTGAAAATGGAATTTACATTCAGACAACCATTTCTGTGAAGCCTAATAGAAGCTAACATGTTTCTAATAGAAGCTAACATGTTTTTATGCATCTTAGCTTCTAACAATTAATTTGCGCTGGTAGCTATTCAGAAATTGTGATTTCTCAGTTGCATATCCTCATAAAAATTTATTGTTGTTGCCTTTTAACTTTCCTCTAGCCATTGCATAGCTCTCTTTAAAGGCACCTGACCTGTTTGTCTTTTTGTTAATGCAGTCTATACAGAGTGTTGTATTCCGAGAGGTACTCCTTTCTCAAAGTTCCTTTCATAAATTGCTTCTGATACCTTTAGCAAGAATTACACAACTTTATCTTGCAATTAGTCATTTCTAAGATTTATATTAAGGTTTTCATCACAAAGTTGATCTCATCTGCTTTTAGGTACTTCTTTTCATAAGTGAATGATCTTCCTTGTGCTCTGTTGAATAGGCTGGCTCAGTTGACCCAGTGACAATGACAATTAGCATATTCCTGCAGTTTTTCGATATTGGCATTGATGCCACGTTATTATCTCAGGTTTGTCTTGCACTTTTATTTCCAAGAAAGTGGATAGTATGCAACTATTGATATCTAAGTCTTGTTATACAGAAGAAGAAGAAGAAGAAAAAAAAAAGTCATGTCGAGTAAAAAAGGAAAAGAAAAAGTCATGTCATTAGAATCATTGTTGTCAGGACATCAATTGCAGGACCAGTTGCTTATGAACAATCAGTCCAGCAAAATTGTTCTCACCAAACATATCAAAAACAAAAAGATCTCAAATTTAAGGAGATATGATACTGCTATTTGGTTGCACAAATTACTTGACATTACAAAATTAGAAGCATTTTATGTGGGCTGTAAGTTGAGCACCAGTATTTGGTTTTTCTATCACTAGATGAAAAACTTGCCAAATAAGTGATGGTGCATTTGGTTGTTCTGTCCACTGCAGTCTCATGGAAATGAAAAATCTCATTCTTTAATCTTAGTACGAAATATAGTGTAATTTGTGGAAAAGGTGCCTCGGTATGGATTCTTTAATCTCATTTGACCAAATATGATTCCCTTTTTTTTTTTTCTATTAAGTTATTCTTAATTTCTTGTTTTCTCTGCCTATTATGTTTAATGAAGTGGACTAGTTCATAATATGTTCAACATGGATTTCTTTGTTTAGTTTTATTTTTATATCAGGTCAAACCACCGTTGAGCTCTAATTGCACAGGTACAATTGCCTTTATCGAAAAAGCATTGTATTGGGTCCATCCAAAATGACCACAAATGTTGCACATCTTCATCCAACGTCTTTAGGAGGCAGCAGGTTGAATTTTCCAAAACATGATAATGGGTGGCAATTTTGGCCTATATCGGTGTTTTAAAATCTTCCATGGCCTTCATTCCTAGATCTTCAATATTTCCCACACAACTATACAAATTCAATATCGTGATCATCATCCGAGCTTTATCCCAACTATTTGGGGTCGGCTACATGAATTATGTTGCCATTCCACTCTATCAAGGGTCATACCCTCATTCAGACTGTAAGTCGCCATATCTTTTTTTACTACTTCTATAATGTCCTCTGGGGCCTTTTTTTTGTCCTCTTAGAGTCTTCCACTTAAACCAAATCATATCGTGTGATGGGTGTTGTTCAAAGTCAAAATAAATTGGTAATGAGGGGAATGATCACCTGAATTGCACTTCAACATTCTAAGGCTGAAATATGGATCCTCCAAATATACTTCCCGAATAGTTTCAAGATCCATGGTATTCACAGCCAAAGTGCGCAAAAGATAAGTATGTTGGCTTAGCGCATAGGCCCCTCAATTTTGATCCTCTGACTAATCTCGAATAGTGAATGTGAACTCTGAGTAAGCCACCCACTTTGCATGTTGTGCGCTAAGCTTCTAGTTGTGCCTTGATTTGCTTCACTGCATCGTGATCGATGTATAAGAAACTTTTATTGCACTAAGAACCAAGGTCATAGGGCTTAGATAACTGCAAAACAATTTCAACTTCATACGTGTAACACTTTCATCGTGCTTCATTGAGTTTTTCACTAAGTAGAGCAACATGCCTCTTTTCATAATTGAGCAGGGCACCAATCCCCTTATGAGAAGCATCATAATGTACCTCGAAAGCCTTTTTGAGATCTCGCAATGAAAGCATTGGATGATTTTCCTTCTTGTCTTGAAAGTTGTCAAAAGCTTCGCTTGACGTTGGAGTACAGGAGCAATTCACCTTTCAAGCACTATGTGATTGAGGCCATGATAGTACTGAAATTTCTAATGAACCTTCTGTAGAAAATAGCAACTCCATGGAAACTTTATGCTGCTGACACTGATTTTGGGACATTCTGCTATGATGTGCACCTTCTCAAGATCCACCTTTACCCCATTTGAAAACACAAAATAGCCCAAGACTTGATGCAATTGGTCAAAAAGTTACAGATCTTGAGATTGATGTATAACTTCTCAGCCCTTAACACTATTAATATCTAGTGCAAATGATCAACATGGCCATTGCCATCTACAACATAAACAAGTATATTATCGAAATAAACTACCACAAATTTGACAATAAAATGTCATAATTCCCGTGTCATCATGTGCATAAATGTGTTGGTGCATTTGACAGGCCAAAAGGCATCACCAACTGCTCATATAACCCACTCTGTCTTAAAAACAATGATGTGAGGACCGGACTGGTCTGGATTTTTTGACTTGTGAACCGGTGCCAAGACCGATCCAGTTCAGGTAATGAACCTGGGAGGACCTTGAACTGGCAATGAACCAGTGAAACAGCCGGATGTTTTTTTATATATTATGGTAATTTAAAACAATCATAATGTCAAACAAAGAGACTCATACAACATGACTTGAACAAATAAACTTACCTGAAAATATAAGAGAAGGAAAAACCCTAATATTTTTGGGTTTTATATTTGTTTTCTTTTTATTTTTGGGTTTTCTATTTCTTTTCCTTTTTTTTTTTTTTTTTACATATTTAGTTTTAACTTTTAATGTTGTAATTTGTTAGGGCTTAAAGAGTGACTTCAAAAATCCAAAAAAATAATAATAATAAAGAAATTTGTTTGGTCCAAAATTGTAATTTCTCTTTATGGTACTTTATGTTTTTAAACTGTAATGTTTATTCGCAGAACTTTAGATTAGTTTATTTTTTGTAAAAGTCACTAAAACCAGAAAAAAAAATGAAATGCAAAAATACAAATGGAAAATTTTGTTTGGGCCATTTTTTTGTTTTTCTACTATTATTTTTTCGATTTTTGGTCCGAAATATGCACAAAAAGATCTAAAAATCGAAAAAATAAAAATGAAAAACAGAAATACAAAAGGAAAAACAAAAACAAAAACAAACAACGATAGCAAAAACAAAAAATTTCTTTTTTTGAGTTTTTTTATTTTTATTTTATTGGGATTTTTTTTTTTAATTTTCTATTCTTTGCACTTTGAATGCTTAAAAATAAAAATAAAAAAATCAGAGCACGAAAAGTTATGACCTTTTTGTTTTTTGGCTTCTTTATAAATTTGAGTTATTGTATTATTTGAGGGGTTATATTTGTTTATAATATTTTTAAAAGTTTTATTTTTTAGATTTTTACATATATTTTGTATTTTCCTCATTATGCTATTTTGATTAATTATTTAATTTCTTAGACCGATCTAACCAGTGAACCAGTCCAGTTCGGCTGGCCTAACTGAACCAGTGCCTTCGTCGATTCGGTCACCAGTACGGTCCTAACAACATTGCTTAAAAGTGGTCTTCTACTCATCTCGTTCGTGTATGTAAATTTGATGGTAGCCACTTCGCAACTCAATTTTTGAAAATACTAAAGCTCCAGCCAGCATGTCAAGCATATCATCCAACCATGGAATAAGGAACTGACATTTAACTGTGATTTTTTAATAGCCCTAATTTCTGCATACATTCTCCATGATTCATCTTTCTTAGGGGTAAGCAAAGTTGGTACAACACATGGACTCACCCTTATGAACCCCTTTGCCAACAACCAATCCACCTGCCTCTGAAGGTCATCATGTTCTTTAGGACTCATTATATAGGCTGGTAGGTTAGGTATGTTTGACCCAAGTATGAGGTCTATATAAGGCTGCATAGACAAATTGATTTCTCTAAATGTTGTCAAAATGAGAAATTCAAAGTAGCTTCCTTTCTGCCAAGGTTGAATAAATAAGAATGATATGTCCCCAAATAAAACGTAAAATTGTCAAGAGGCAGAAATGATGTTCCGATCCACTTCTGTGTAAGTCTTATCTGGGATGCCAGGTTCATTCAAAGCCTAAGATTTCATCTAACACCATCTCTATACTTTGTTCCCATGTTCCTTGGCACAAACACTTCAATATTCAGAGCTCTTGATCCTCTATGGTTGAACAATCAAATATCCTTCACAATGTATACATTTAGTTTATGTTATTAACACGTAAAGTTTTACAGTTTAATTTTCTTCATTTACATCATTTCCTCCCAATTGTTGTCAAAACACATTAACCTGGAATTGAACTTTGTATCTGACTTCTCCATTTTCTTGATTATTGTATGTTGCTTTGCAATTGGGGTGTGGCTTATCTTGGTGTTACGCTCTCTTTCTTGTGTAGTATATATCCTTGATATTCATTGGCGTGCTTATTGTGATATCTGTGCGAGGCTTCCTCACCAATCTCATGAAGGTAACTTTTCTGTCTCATGCACGTGTACCTAGATACATGCATGAACACATCTGCATATCTCGTGTATGCATGCAGTCATATATACTCATTCTCATTCATACAACACATGGATGCACATTTAAGTTCTTTTCTTACACATGCGTGTTGGAATGCATTTGCAGTTCTTTTTTGCAGTCTCAAGAGTGGGAAGCGAATCATCCACAAATGTTGTTCTCTTCTTGTCAGAGATCATGGGCATGTATTTTGTCTCATCAATCCTTCTGATAAGGAAAAGTTTAGCTAACGAATACAGGTACGCAATCTGAAAAGATGTGTTTCTGCTTAGAAGTTCTATTTATTAAATTTAAAACAGAAAGCAAAAAGCAATATATGTACTCTTTGCCCAGCTTGTCTAGAACTTGATCACCATCATCCGAGTCTTATCCCAACTATCTAGGGTCCACTTGATCTGGTTTGAATTAGTTTTGTTAGTTGAATGATCGTCAGGGAATGGCAGTAGTAGAATGTACCATGACAGTTTACACACACATATAGAGAGAGAGAGAGACCTCAAATCTTGCTGGAAAACATAGTTCCAATACCAGAAAACCTGCAAATCGATCATCTTCACCTCGATGATCATGGACATGAAAAATAGTGGATTTCAAGCCCTAAAAGTGGCCCACATCGTGCAACACTTTTTTCCAATTCAAGTGTTCGCAGATTTCCCTGAACTGTACCCATTTGTGGATTCAAATTCCACAATCAGTGGTAGAAATGGATTTAGAGCCATCATAAGGTGTTGAGGTGCTATATCTTGTTTTGCATCTGGTTTTGAGATGCCTTAACAAATTTCATAAACGCTTGTCTACTAGTAGCTAAAATAGGATTGATTTACTTTTGGAAAGAAGATAAACCTAGTGTATGCAGGCAAACTGAACTGAGCATTCACTTTGCCTGTTATTGTCCAGGGTGGGTTTTAATGGCATAAGTTAGCATTTGGCAAGTTTCTTTTTAGTTCTTACTTCACAATGACTTTTTTCAATTATGTTTTTAGTTTTGATCTGTACCATTTTGCTTATTAATTGGGCTATTTTGTTTATATCCTCGTTGTTCTATGGCTTGGCAGGTTGACCATAACAGATGTGTTGGGTGGTGACATTCAGTTTGATTTTTATCACCGTTGGTTTGATATAATATTTGTTGCCAGTGCTTTCCTCTCTCTAATATTGCTCTCTGCACATTATACCTCTCGTCAGGCTGATAAACACCCCATTGATTGATTTTTTTTAATTTTTGCACTTTCACAGTTGTATCAATTTTTTCCTTTTCTTTTTTGGAAAATTTATCAAAACAACCATAAGATATGAATTATTCAACATTTTACACATCATTTGATTTATTTTCAAAATACCGATCAAAAGATGCATGATCACGACCTGGAATAATTACAAAAGAGTAAAATGTTAAATAGTTTATCTTATGAGTAGTTTGATAGATTTTTCTCCTTTTACATATGCGCTCTCTCTCTCTAGTTTCTTATTTAAGCTGCAAAGTTCAAAAGACGGCATCATCTGATACAATGGTGTGAAAATTTTGATTAATGAGTTTTATGTTCAATTTAGGGGGGCATTTGTTTCAATGAAGAGTGGTTTGCCAAAGTGCGGCTTCCCCAAATAAAGTCGTTTTGATGTTGTTTTGGAAGCCGTGGCTCCTCTGCCTCATAATTTTCAACTGCTTTCGAAACAACATTGCACTTTCTGCAGGCAATTGTGGGAAATGTAATAGTGATGGAAGCTGCGGCTTCTATGTCTTCTAGTAAACAAATCTGCACATAATGTCGGTTAAGCTGGAAATTTTAGAACAAGGTATGCGTAATACAGTAGTGTGAAAAAATAGATCCATTTATCTGATGTTTCCATTTTAACTTAATGTGGATATGCTTTTTCACATCCCACATCTGTGCCAAAACTCGTAAAATGAACCTTCCAGGAATGGCACTTGTATATGTGAGGAAGGAGAATCTCAAAGTAACTTCAGGAAACTTTCTTAGTAACTTTCCAATGAAAAATAAAACAATGGCAAACAAAAGTTCAAGGGCATGTTTGGTTTTTACATGAAAGAACTCCCTTTTGTAATCAGGTGCGGGAGTTTTTATTTTTTGTCCCACTGTATTTTTTTTCCATTAAATGGCTGTTAATTATGAAAAAAAAAACTCTCATATTTAATCACATGGGGGAGCTCGTTTCGGTAGTTATACAGTGTAAAAATACTTTAGGAAAATGTTTACACACCAAATGTGGCCTCAGGATGGAGCATTCACACCTTAAGAGATCAAAGTTTGCCAAATAGTTGACTCATGTCCTTCAAAGGAGTTAATTTTTTGGGATACTAAAATTGTAGGTGAAAATATTATAAGCGTATTTTTAGATGTATTTGTTATCATTGATAACTCATTCATCATCATTATCGTTGAAGCATGTTTTCAACTAATTGGGTGTGGCTATGTTCATACTGGTCTGCCAATTTGCTTTATTAAGGTTTTTAAGCGAGGTTACTAGTCATCATATATTTTTCACTACTTTCAACTGTCTTTTTGGACTTGTCCCATGTCTTTTTTTTAACTTTCTACTTGAATTAATTTGCACCTCGTGGTGCATTGGATTTGAATCACATGATTAGCCCACTTAAGATTATTTTCTCTCATCTCATCTTATCATTGATAATTCATTGTTTTACTAAAATTAATTTTGATAATGAATTGTCTGTTTGTTAGTGTCAATCAGAGTTATTTGAGATAAAAGTGATAAGTTTGAACAAGTGTACATTTTTTAGTAGTAGTCTATTAAGAATGATTTGCTGAAAAATCACATGCAAAAAAAAACTAAAAATAAAATGAATTCATTGAAAAAGTAAGATGATTAAATAATATTACACATTATACAAGACACGTACCAAATAGCCAGCAAGATAATATTATACAGTGTATTAGTTTTAAATGAGATGATCCATTCTAAATAAAATTAAGGGAAATTTATCACAGTACACATAAGAGATTAACAATGTAACTTTACCCACATCTTTTGGTTTCATTGCAAAGCAGCCATAAAAGAACACATGATTTCAAGTTGGAATAATAGCAAACTAAAATTGTTAAATAACTCGTCTCTTCTTGTTTTTTGATAAATTTCCCTAAAATTAATTGTCATCCACACAGGCCTTGGCAATAATCTTTTTTCGAACGTCAGGCCTTGACAGTTATCAAGAAGATATCTCATTTTGTAACGGCTGTTTCCTGGACAATATTGATCTCATTAAAGGAAGGAAAACAAGTCGTTTTTCGATAAATTGTATATATATTTGATTGGGGGAAAATATTGTATGGTTTGGAACTAGCCGAAAAACACTTGATTTGCTGTTTTGGAATGTGAAAAACATGAATTATCTGAATTCAAATCGTCTTCCACACAATTAAAAAAAAGGGATGCGGTTTGCATAAGGTTGCAACTCTATACAATCCAATTAAGGAGCATTATAGCATGCTATGCAAGACTGGCAATACCATATGCTAACTCCATGTTTTTTACTTTTTCCTTTTTTTTTTGTCTTGAAATTGATCGCCCTCACCAAACATGATCTTCAAAATTTTCAGATATCAATATGCCCCAATATTTTTGGTGGGTGCTCGATCACGTGTTGTAGGTGGTTGGGGCATAATTCCTTATTTTCTTGAGATGCCGTTTTTCTTCTAGTGCGGGCTTTGTATCGTTGCGTGAAAGAAGATTTCTACAACTCTCACATACATTCGGTCATTTCTTGTTTCTTATCATATTTATTTAGAAATTTCTCTTTTTGATATGGAAATTTGTTTCATCGGGCTGGACCACATTACTACATATGTGGTCCATAAAGTGTAAAGCATCCATCTCAAAGATGGATGCAACTAGGTGTTCCATCTAAAAACAATGGACACTAACCGTCCAAATGTTCTTTTTACTAGAATTATTATTTCTAGCTTTTAAAATTCATTTATTTTTTCATATTCATGATCTCAAAAATTAAGTGTTAAAATCCATCTCAAAAATAGATTTATTAAGAGGCTAGCATATCTACATGCGTGGGCTTGCCCGCATAGAAACCGGGTCCTTATGAAATTTTACACGAGGAAAAACGCTACCAATATCAGTATAAAAAGCTATATATCCTGAAATTGCACCTTTTTATTTATGGGGATGGTATACTATACGACCATTTTATCTTTAGGGAAAGTATATAATGAGACCATTTACTTTTGGTACAAGGTAGTCACAATTAATCTTGACTATTGGATGTGAAATTGGGTGGCCGCATTTATTTCATTTGCTAAACTCAATGTTCAAAAAAAAAAAATTTCAAACTTTGTGGCACACTCAAGCCATGAGATTTCACATTCTATGGTGGTAAGTAATTGTGACATCGCTGTACTAGAGGTAAATTTTCTTATTTTATACAATCCCTTATCTTTATTATTTTTTAAAAAATTTGAGTTTAAAAAAATAACAAACTCATAGCCATCTGATTTAAAATAGGGTGTGGTTATATTAGATTGCAACTTTAAACAATCAAATTAAGGCGCACTTCCAAATCTTACCATAAAGATAATTTTGGTGTCAAAACTTTTTAAGATGGCTTGATAATCTATTTTCGCATCTAATTATACAATCTTAAACTTAAAAAACGGCTCAAATCATGTAATTTTATAGATACTTTAAAATCTTGAAACTTGACGGTCTCGATAATGTGTTGTGAAATAAATTGTCTTCAAGATTTGAAATATTTTTTTATTTTCGTATTCATACTCTAGATGGTCACTTGGAAGGTTTTTCAACATCACAATAATTTTTTATAATGAATTTTTGAGATCCATAACTTCTTCGAAATAAGTAGGGGTACTTTCGTCCTACTAAAATATGCCTTTTTTGGGTTTTCGTGATGTTTCGCGCCATTTTATTGCATAAATAACGGGAAGGAACGTCACTTCTCTCAAATTTTCTCCGAGTGTAAGTTTAGAGGAAGATGATGAATCAAGTGACAAGAGGAAGATGATAAATCAAGTGACATGAAACCCTAGTTTTTCATTCTCACCAATCTCGATATTGAAACCCTAGTTTTAGAGAGTCGTGAAGGCCAGAGGTTAAGAAGAAGCAGAGAGATTTCGAAAACCTAGTTTCAGGGAGCTTTAACTTGCAGAGGATAAGAAAAAGCGGATCAATTGAAATTGTTGTTTCTCAGAGTAAATAAATGAAGCAGCGGGTAAGAAAAGCTCGATCTAAAGATACACTGTACTCTCCTGTGGGATCAACACCTAAGCATGGCTTGATCAATCCTGCAAGCTCACCTGGATCCTTTGCATTTGATATGGACATCCTGAAACCGTCGAAGAAGAAGTATAGCCCTGATAGCCATGGAAAAGGTCCTTCTCCTACTCCTGTTCAGAGGTCAAATGGAAATTCGAGTAAAATGTCGTTCAGTTCAGTCTCTGAATTGAAGGATCATGCCTCATCTCGCCTAGAAGACCTAAAGAGAAGCCTTGAAGCTTCACATTCACAGTCGATCAAAGATGCAGAGGCCAATTCAGCCAGGCTTTCCAAAAGGATCAAGGTATTCATCCTATAATATTGAACTTCAGTGAATTTCAACTGAAATTGGAGTACTTCTTCCAATATTGGTTGTTCTGTGTCCTGATTAAGCTGGAAAATGCCAAAGATTGGACATCTAACTCATTCCAGAATTTGACCAAAATTGGGGAAACATTCCAACGAAACTCAAAATTTTTGGTTAAGTTTCGCTTGATTAATCATTATGAATCTTCTTTGACTTTTTTATTTGCCTCTTTTGCTTTCTTTTGTCTGATTTGAAGGCCCCTGTGCTTATCTCCTAGATCTATTGACGAGAAACTAAGAAATTGTCACTTGAGTTTTACCACAGTATAGCCATTTTCAAACTGAAATTTAAAGAAAATAGCATGCGTGCTTGTGTTCCTCTCAGAGACAGAGAGGCAGAGGGAGATATAGGTTTGTCTGTTCGTGTTTGTGTGTATAAAGAGAGAGAGACATGATTGCTTGATATTTTTGTGGGAGACAGGATTCTTGTTGGTGTATTTGTGTTAGAGGGAGAGAGAGCAGGAAATATCCACTTGTTGCGAACACTGCAGTTAAATATCTCACATGAATTTCTTTCTTAGCTCCAGAGTCAGACCTGTTTGCAAGTGATGGAACAATCTGAGAAGGATTACAAGAAGGTCTCTGATAGGATAAGCCAGGATATGGAAGAAATGAAGGCAAACTAATTTTGTTTCTTAGATTTTACGCCCTGTAAATCAATCTCTAACAAAATTCTCTTTCACTTTTAATCCATTCTTCATATGTTTCCAATAGGCTTCATTTGCTGAATTCATGACAGAGGCTCATGCTACTGCTTCCCGAGGTTCTCTCTCTCGCTCACCTGTTTTTAATATTGTCCCAATGTTACATTTATTTCATATTGCATTTCTTATTATTGGGGAAAGCAGTGTGTAAGGTTTCGATACCTGAAATTTCGGCTTCCATTGAGAAAGCCATTGAACAGCTACGCCACTCTTACGGACTCACCTCTGCTTCAAGCTGCAAAGCTTAGCAGCCTTTTCCACAAATCACTTCATGGTCAGCTCTCTCTCTCTCTTTATATAGTACTTATCTCCATGTAAATTTGTTACTTAACAGTCTACGGTTCATGTATTTGGCAATCTTTGATTGGTTTCTTAACTATCTTTCCTGCTGGATTAGAGATAAGTGGGGGGCCATTTTCTCCAAGAATCAGCGGGCATGATACACGTATTACGAAATGTAGCTGCTCTCCTAGAATTGCATTGGATTACTACATAATGCTAACTCCAAAAAGAAAGTGTAAACTGACTATCTTTACTCACACTCTTTTACCCCTTGCTACTGCTTGCTAGTAATATGAGTACCACCACAAACTTCTCGCTCTAATGTGCATGCTTTTTTGCACAAAAATGACCATGCCCAGATTTTGGGGGAGTTTGTCATTGTGTTTAATAAATTTCTTGAGTCCACATCAACTGATCTACATGGGTAGTGTGCCATACACCAGTGGTGCGTGCATTCTGTTGCATTTCTCTATAGCTCACCACATGCCAAAACCCTTTTGGTGATCATTTCCGCTTCATGCCCGTTATTACTGCTCAAAATTGCCTTAAGCGCGCCACATTTTTAGTTAGCCGTTCGAGAGATCTGCATCTTGGCTCTCTTGTCCTCCCCTTTCTCCAAGTTTGGGATACTTTTACAAAATTCCCATTTATCAGTTCATAGAAATTTTACTAGGAATAAGAAATCGGTGGAGCTTCCATTAACATGTAAGAATGAGATTCTTGTGCAATGTCATGCAGATTGTGTGTATTATTTTTAGACCAAAACTACTGGTTAGGTACCAAAAACCTCTAAAATTTTAATTTTTTAAATTAACTTTGATGCTGTATTAATTATTTGAGAGCTTCTCTTAGGACATGGATGATAATTAATTTTTTCTTGAATAAGACTATCTTATCTAAAATAAATCTAGATAATATTATGCTATTAGGTGTTTGGTACTCTTGTATTATGTGTATTATTAATTTAATTTTTAGATTTTTTTTTGTGATATCTAGTTATTTTTAGCTATTTTTGGCCAAAATTAATAAATTAATTTTAAAAAATGGGAAACTAATAAATGAGTATGCAAGAACCCTATATTAACAAACACAAGTGGTAATAGAGATTACAAAGATACAAAATTTAAAATTTAAAAAAAAATTAATAATAATAATAGTGAAGAGTAAGAGATCCCATTCATTTTGAATGTGAAATGAATTTAGTGGTCAACAAATACATACTCATGCATGAAATAGATTCTCAATATTTATATATTTTTTAAAGAATCAAAGTATACGATACAATGCCCCAATTTCTTTGAAAACATAAGAAACTTGAGTTTTAAGAAATTACAGTGATTTTAAATTAAAAAAATTACGGCTGAAACTGGCCAAACTAGCCGATTCTCCGAGTCAGAACGCCTCTATGCTAATCCGACATGGTTTTTGGTACGGTAGATCCAGGTCACCGGTCCATATTTTTAAACCTTTTTAATGAAATGGTGATAACTTGTAATTTTTCAAAACAACTAAAATGGACAGCCACAAGACATGGATGATCATAACTCGTGACTTAAAAGAGTCAGTTTCTTACTCTACCAATGGGACTCGAAAGCACATATTTTTACAAACAAACTCTGATTCTTTTACATAATTTAACTCTCTAAAGAAGGACAACTCTGGTGCTCATCTGAGGTCTCCCTGTTCTAGTGCATTCAACAATGTGATACAAGTATTCGTTCTTGTATTTTCACTTTTCGGAAATCGTAAGAATGAATTTGCTAGGAAAACTTCATGCATTTATGCAAGCGGCCTTTTATTAATAAGGCCGAATATTGTCTAAAAATAGCACATTAGTGTACCTAAAAACAAACGACATCTTCACAATTATTCTTAATTAAAGTATTATTTCACTGCCACTATTTCGCCCATCTGCACTTTTTCCAACAGTAGATGCCCCGGTGTGCTGTACACCTTACATAGGATGTGTTTTGTATAGTTCCCCATGGGTGCTTCGTTGAGACTTAAACCTGAGAAGATGTTAAAAGAGGTGGCACGCCTGAATAGGACGATGTAAGTATGGTCCAGTATTTGAAAGCTTGGGCACGGACAAGCACTCACAGGGGTTTCGAACCTGCCTCGGTACAGTCTTAAGAGGGTACGCGAAAAAGTGTTGGATTACTCGGCGAGCCAAACTTGGACTTGCCTAAGTAACTCAGACCCGCTACCCTGGCGATATCTTCAACTTGGGTGGTCTAACTCGAGAAACTTTTAACAAATATAAAAGATATAAAAATATAAAAAATAAGAAATTTATTTAAAATATATCTATTTTTTACTTTTTATTATTTTGGCCAAAATTTGAAAGTGCTCTTTGGCTATGAATTTTGTTTTTACACTTTTTATTCTTTTGAATTATTTTTAAAATATCTTCATCACAAATTGATTATTTCAAAATCTATTTGTTACTGTTTTAATCTCATTTAGATGTGTTTTGTTTAATTTTAAGAAAAAATTCATATAGAACCTTAATTTCTTATATTATTTCATGGTAGACTCTCTTTCTGTTTTTTTTCAAGCGGCATAAAGAAATCCCTGACCATACCCTTTCATCTTTTATCTCCCTCTTTGACTTACTTTTGATCATAAAAATTAACTTCAAAAAATATTTTTATACCATTTCAACCCAAAAACTTTTTTAATGGGTGGAAAGGGACAAAAAAAAATTAACAAAGTCTTTGGGTTGAAATGGTAGAAAAAGACAGGGGTTAATTTTTATGGTAAAAAATCAATTAAATAGGGAGATAAGAGATGAGGGTTTATGGTAAAAAATTAATTAAATAGGGAGATAAGAGATGAGGGGGTGCGGTGAAATCTTTAGAGGTTTACTTATACCGTTTGAAAGAAAAAATGAAGGAGGGTCTATCATTAAATAATATGAAAAATTAGGGTTCTCTATGAAATTTTCCCATAATTTTACTTCTATGTTTTAGAGTTTTTGGATATTTTTATATTTTAGCACTTTTCGTTTAGCCGAGACATGGCCCCAACGCTGCGGAGTTACTCTGACTCCGGCCGAGTACTTGGCCTGAGTTGATCTTTCCAACGCTGCATACAAGTGCCTTGGTAAAACGAATTCCGCCATGGAACCATCAATATGAACCATAAATGGTATATGACGAGTTTCGTGAAATTTATGACGCCTATACCTAGAATAACATACTGGAGGTATGTAAGACGAAATTGCACATATCCGAAATGAGTAATTTACATATGGACACAAAATAAATAAGAAAATACAAAAATGGGCCAATTTTAGATAAAAATTATATGGAAGTTCAGTCAACCTGTTTTTTTTTATTTTTTTCAAAATTATCCTTCAGTTTGAGGATGTCTTCCTCGGATTGCTTTTTTATTTTGGTTTGTTGGGCTTAGTTTATCCTCGGATCGCTCTTGAATTGAGCTCTAGCCTAGTCTAGAGAGTGGTCTTAGGTCCCCATCCTTGGACCGCTCTTTGTTTCTTTTTGTAGAAGAAAAGAGCGGTTCGAGGATGGGACCTCGGACTATTCCTTGGGCTGACTCAGGTGAACCAAACTATAAAAAAAGGGTAAGAGGATGTCATCCTCGAACTGAAGGGAAATTTTGAACAAAAAAAAAAAATATGAGGGGTTGATTAACCTTTTGCATAATTTTTACTCAAAATTCGCCTATTTTATATTTTCATATTTTTATTCATATGTATATTACTCGATCGAAATTGTAGAAACTTTAACAGATTATGGTATATATGTAGTTTACAAATACAAGGAAAATTGCTTCATGCAGTGGGTCCCACATTTCGATATTTGCGGTTCCCGAGGTATAAAGCATCCATTTTAAAAATGGATGCAAGTAGGTGGTCCATCTAGAAATAATTAAAATTAACGGTCTAAATATTTTATTAATAAAATTAGGGAAATTTTTATATAGAGCTGAGGCTCTAAACAATCAAATTAAAGTGTAACTCAAAAATTTCATTTGAAAAGGTTGTTTTGATACCCAAATATCGTTGAAATAATCATTTCGACATCAATATGCATGGACATCAGAAAAAAAAATGGATTTCAAGTTTTGGAAACGGTATATTTTGTGACGCATTTTGGACCGTTAGTTTTCAAGATTTTCAAGTTTTCATAGATCTGTTGATCTACACTATTTTTGAAGCTTTAAACTTTATAAATAAAGATAAAAGTATATTTCAAGGCTGTCATAAAGATTTCTATAAAGATTTTCAGTATTGAAACCGCATTTTTCAACATTATTTGAAAGTAAGCTTTAATTTGATTTTTTAGAGCTTAGGCTCTATACAAACCGCTCCCATAAAATTATTATTTCTAATTTTCAAAATTTATTCCTTTTTTTTAATATTCATGATCTCCATGTAAGATATTAGTCCAAAAAAATCCATCTCAAAGATAGATTTTTAAGAAGCCTCATTTCTACATTCATAGAAACCGTGTCCTGAATACTATAACCTCTGCGTCGAGTCTTGCGGTCTTGTCTTGTTATCATGTGGCATGCTGATTGTATGTTACATGGAAGATTTTGTAAAAGAATGAAAAAGAGTTGTCGACACGAAAACAAAGGGAAAATAGAAAAGTTTTTTTTTTTTTAATTTACAAATATTACTTCTAAGGTTGGTTAACTCGCGTCTTTTTTATTTTCTCCACTTGAACCCTCCGTTCCCAATGTAACCAACATTAAAGCGGCTTTGTTTTTCTCATTTTGGGATCTCGGTTGGATGGTCTAAATCTCGGACCACTCAAGCCCTCTGACCAATATATTGTGGCGATGGGGTACAAAACTATCAGTCTGACGTCCAGAACCTTGGACAGCTTAAACCTTGCTGGTCTAATATTTGGGACGTCAAATCGTCCACACTCCAAAATTGAAAAGAGAAAAAATAAACACAACAAATACCGCTTGCCAATATGGCAAAAATATTAAAGACGTGAGTCGACCGATCATCTGCAAAAATGTTTATTAAAAGGAAAAATTATTTAATGAGTCGGGGGTTCTGCATATGCGTCCCCGACGTATAAAACATTCATTTCAAGACATTCATTTCAAGATAAATTATAGGAAAAATTACAAAAACTTCTTCAGAATATATTGCTTACTCAACTTACCCATTAGTCGCCTTTTTTTTTTGATCTTTTTCTCTTCAACAAATTATCTTCGCAAAACCCCCCCAACCCAAAAAAAATAAAAAAAGGTTCAAAATACCTTTTTGTCTTCATACCCCTTCTCTACGCACCCAAAGCTTTTCCAATGCGTTCCAGCACACAAGCTTTGGAGCCAAAGCGCTCCGGCAGTTAAATCAACCCCTTCGGCAGTAAGCCACTTCGATCTAGTGGTTTAGGACATCACTCCGATGATACATTCTACACTTCGGCGATATCTATATGCACTCCGGCAATACTCTTTTGGAGCACATCGCTCCGGCGGTGTGTCAACGAGCTCCAACATTGTTTAATCTCACTCCGACAGTGTGTCAGCACGCTTCAGCATTGTTTGATCTCGCTCCGATAGTGGCTATTGCGATCTGGTAGTCATTTCAAAACGGTCCGGCGTTATTGTGGCATTTTTTAAAAAAAAAGTACAACTTTTTCCTTTGAGGTCAACAAGTTTAAGACGAGAATGTCCTTACCATTTCTCTACACAAATAAAAATAAGCTTTTTGAACTATCTCATTCTCTCTTTACTCTCTCTTTCCATCTTCACATGCCATTTCTCTCTTTTTCTACCTGTTATTTCTCTCTCGTCTTTCTCTATCAACCCTCTCTCTTTCTCTCTCTACTTGCTCTCTCTCTTTCTCGTTCTCTCTTTTTCTCTCTTTCTCTAGATCAATACATTGTTCAGCACCTAGAGTGTTGGACCGCCTCTAAGGGATAGAGGCTTATTTGGATAAATACTTGCCGCCTAGACACCCAGTATGCCGAACCGTGCATTGATTTGCGAGAGGAGAGAGAGGGGCAAGTAGAGAAAAAAACAACAGGACGGGTAAAGAGAGATGGCATATAGAGAGAACTACAGCGAGTAGAGAGAATAAGAGATATAAAAAAGCTCACATATATCATATTTTTGTTTGTGTAGGGAGGGTAAGGGCATTTTCATCTTAATGTGAACTTTTTTACTTGGGTAAGTACGAAAACAAAAGTGTTGAGGCTTAGGGTGTTAGAGAAAAAAATACCGAGGGTAGGAATTTTTAGAAATTTGATTATGGGGGAATCTATAATTTTAAGACTAAAAAATGATAGAAATTAATTATCAACATATTTTTTTTATAAAATTATTATTTTTAATTTTTAAAATTTATTTTTATATTAATGATATCCATGTTAGAAGTTATAAGTCAAAAAAAATCCATCTCAAGAGTCTAATGGAGGACTCATTTCTACATGGAACTTCTTACATTCGTGTCCGTACGTAAATCAGTCGTCAAAAAGCTGCCAATCCCCTGAAAGCTACCAGTCAAATAGAACTTTCCACCACCGCCCTCGCAAAATAGGATACCTTCGCTTCTAAGCTACACTCCAGTATATATAAGTCTCGCTCAAACCGGTACCCGAGTCAGAAGTTAGGAACAGAAATAAATATCACAGTGAGAGAAACATAACATCAAAACGATGGAGACAGAGATTGTGGTGATCCCCTTTCATGGCCAAGGCCATATCTTTCCTTGCATCGAGCTGTGCAACCAGCTTGCTCGCCTTAATCTCAAAACAACGGCTCTGATTCCATCCCCGATCTCCTCCTCTCTTCGCCTTCACCCCTTGGTCCAAATCATGGAAACTTCCACCCATTCTCCCCCTCCTCCACCTCCACAGTGGCCGGAGAACTCCCCTTCTCCATCTTTTCCAGCCATGTTAGACCCTTTAGAATCCATCTTACTGGAGCGAGTAGCTGCTGGAAAATCACTCCCGACTGTTGTAATTGTTGATACCATGATGAGTCGGTTGCTCGAAACTTGCCGGAAATTCAAGATTCCGGCTGTTAGTTTCTTCACTTCGGGTGCTTGTGCGGCTGCCATGGAGCACGCTTTATGGATGAATTCACCCGATAAAGTGACACAAGGCCAGGTTCTAACCCTAAATGGACTCCCTGGCGAGATGGCCCTAAGCTCGTATGAGCTTAAACGCTTCTTTTTCCGTCCTCCTCATCCTCCTCCAAATCCCACCAGTATTGAAAGCCAGAGGGTTTTTGGCAACAAAAACCAAGCATTTCCTGGTTGGGAATCGAATCCACCCCCTTTGCCGGAAAATATGAGCCTGTTCCACAAAGAGATGCCTTTTGACAGGAAATTGCCGCCCCCTTTGCCGGAAAGTATGATGTCATCTGCCGGTAAAATGTTTTCTGGCCAAGGACCGCTCCCGCCACCACCACAGCCAGGAGGGCCACCCCGGTGGATGGAGGAAACGCAGGGCTCTGTCGTGCTGATGATCAACACGTGTAGCGATCTAGAGCGTCCATTTCTCGATTACATGGCTGATGTGGCAGGAAAACCGGTCTGGGGCGTTGGGCCCCTCCTGCCATCAAGCTTCTGGGACTGGACTCATGGGGAATTCCACGATTCTGCCGTACGCGCCACTAGGGATTCCAGCGTCAGCGAGGAAGAGGTCCGCCATTGGCTGGACAATATGCCACATGGATCGGTGCTCTACGTGGCATTCGGCACGGAGGTGGGGCCTACAAGAACAGAATTAGCCGAACTGGCGGTTGCGCTGGAAGAGACACACCGGCCGTTCATCTGGGCCATCCAGCGCAATGCCGGCCGTCGGATGCCCCCGCCACCACCAGGAATCGCAGCCGATGTCGAAGAACTGCGCCCACCACCACCAGGAATCGCAGCTGAGGGCGTAGAAGGAGTCGACAACATGAGCATCTTGCCGGAGGGCTTTGAGCAACGTGTGGGTTCGCGTGGGCTCGTCATCCACGGGTGGGCACCGCAGCTGATGATACTGAACCACACTGCGACGGGGGGGTTCCTGTCGCACTGCGGCTGGAACTCGATGGTGGAAGCTGTCTGCGCTGGGGTGCCACTGCTGGCTTGGCCCATACGTGGAGACCAGCACTACAATGCCAAGATGGTTGCGAGCTGGCTCAAGATTGGCTCAATCATCATGGATACAGAGATGGACGGGGAGATCTCCAAGGATGTGATTTTAGCGGGGATCGAACGAGTGATGTCAGCTGTTGAGGCCAGGAGGCAAGTTGAGTCCATTAGGAAGATCTTCTCTGGAGGTTTTCCGGCTTCATCTCGATCGGCTCTGGATGATTTCCGGCAACTAGTGCAGCAGTTGAACCAGCAAGAATGATATAATGTTTTTTATATGTTTTCTAGTGTCAAATATCCTCTCTCTCTTTTCTTTTCTTTTTTTTTTTTTAAGTATAAAATGCATCTTAATTCTATCCATTTAAAGCTTTTTATGCTCCTTATACTGCATAGAAGTTCTATTCAGCTGTTTAATTTTGATAAAGAGAGCCACTCATCGTTTGATCTTAAATCCGATGTCTTAAAAGATTTTATTTTTAATTTTTTTTATATAAATTGTATGAATATGAAATTTTGTATGTGCCATCTTCTCATTGGGACACACTTATAAAAAATATTAAAAATTATTTTTTGATAAAATATAATGACCAAAGCACCTTTTGAAACTTTCAAAAGTATTTTGGTCACTTTATTTTATTGTAAATATTTTTAGCTAGTGCGATTTTAATAGAGGAATGGACGTCCAACATTTGGGATCAAAACAGTTTATACAAAAAAAATTAAAAATAAAATAGTGTAGAAACATGATATTGTGATTGAGACAATCTTAACCTTCCATTCAAAATGGACGGTTGGATAAAGAGGATAATAAAACTTCTATGCTGTAGAAGGAGCATATAAAATTTTTCTTAAAACGTTTAACCTTAAATAAACTTTTTCTATATATTTAAATTTTTTGTTTTGAACAGAGTGGAGAAGAAGCGGAGCAATGGAATACAGGTCTTGAATAGTCGAGAGATGGATTGTGGAAATTGTGATGAGAATCCATCATCTACTAACTGACTTTTGTGGCTATCTATTTTGGTAATATAAAGAGACAACGATACAAAATTCAGGGTACCATGTATTATTGACCTCAACAACTTATGAAATGATTCTATCTCTCTTTCACATAATCGTCTCTCTCTTTCTCAAAATTTCATCTCTCCTTAAAACTCAAACTCCATCTCTCTTTCTAAAATTCTATCTCTCTCTAAATCCCAAACTCCTTATCTCTCACATATAAGAAGATGTGCTCGTGTTCGAGTTCAAGTTAAACCCTTTGGTTGGTAAACTCATCGAGAAGCGAAGAGAGAGAGAGAGAGGTGAAATTTGAATAGGGTGTTATTTTAGTGTTTTTTTTGGTCAAAGATTTATAGTCAAAAGGGCCCATGGGGTTCTAAGATAAAAAAGATAAAGACTTTTTGCGTACTTAATATTTTCAATTATTGGGGCTCATGAGATATTAAAGTTAAAAAAAATGAACAAGGAGATATTTTCCTTTGTTTTTATCTTTGGGTGTTTGGTACTTTACTTCTCTGCAAAAAAAAAAAAAAATCCTCAATGAGGTTTCAGTGTAGGTTATCCCTAACTTATCCTTTGGTATATTTGGCTGATTAGTTTGTTTGTAAAATTTGGAAAGTGAGAACTTTAACAATTGTTTCATGCGGGTTGGACTGCATTTGTACAATAAACGGTTCAGAGCAGAGGCATAAAGTATTCATCTTAAAGATGTAAGCAAACAGGTGGTCCATCTAATAACAATTGTAACTAACTGTCCAAATGTTTTTTTAATGTAATTATTATCCGTAATTTTCAAAAATTATTTGTTTTTCATATTCATGATCTCCATGTTGAAGATTATATATTCTCTAAAAATTAGAATCAAATTGTATTTAACAAATATATTTATTACTAAGCCCTCATTTCTACATGTGCGGGCTTGCTCGCATGCTGACCACGTCCAAACTTAAATTTCGTGATATAAGTTGACTTTGCAAAGGTGGATGGAGGAAGGCTGCATATACAAATGTCGCACCAGATCTTATTAACTTAAGGGATAGTATAGGATGAGACCATTTACCTCTCATACAAGGTGGTCACATTAATCTTGACCATTAGATGTGATATTAGGTGACTGTAATTATTCCATTGATCAAGCTCAAACTTCAAAATAATTTTTATTGAACTTTGTGACGCATCCAAGCTATCAAACTTCTCATCCAATAGTTGTAATTAGAGGTCACGATTACCATAGTCAACACAAAAAATAAATACGATCGTTGGCAAATAGAACTTTGTATATGTAATTGTCCTCCATCTACTTTTAATGTAGTTGGATTTATCCAGGATTCTCTCACTTACCATGCCAAAATATATCATTTAGGGGCTCAAAACCCCTTATAAACCATTGACGAGGTTAGAACATCCTAATTAACAATAGATGATATACTATTTAAATATTTTAAAAAATAAACTGCCCTTTTATAGGGTTGCAAACCCTTAACAAGTAGGGGTGATTTGTCACCTAGGAATTTCCAAATAAATAAAGGAAGTACCCTGCTTGTTTATGGTAGGTCCAATTATTGAAATGCCCTTGTTTATCTAGGTGTTATGAATCCTAAATATGACCAATTTAACTATTTTTGAAAAAAAAAAAAAATGGAAGAACCACCTCAGTGTAATAAAAATGAAAAAGCGTGCATCCTATGCTCCAGCGGGAACAAACTATCCACTTACTCCCTCGGGTAGAATACTTGCTCTAGATTTTGTTTTTTTGCTTTTTTTTTTTTTTTTGTTTCTTATTTGAAATCTTGGGACCTACCTGAAAATCACCAAATGATTATGTTTGATTTTGAATTTTGAGTTTTCTAATACATAGATCACATGCTTAAAATGGACCCTTTCTATTCAATTTTGAGGCATTATTTATCTCAGGCCCTAAGGGAATGCGATTTGAAATTTATTTTATTGAATTTTACATAGGGGATTGTACACATCAAGATCGTTTACCTTTGTTACAAAGAGGTCATAATGGCTTACAACCATTTGATGTAAAATATGATTCACAAAATTCAATAATTTTTTCGTTTGAACTTTGAGCTTGGTCAATTGAATAAATGAAGCCCCCCAATTTCGTATCCAATGGTCAAGATTAAGTGTGATCACCTTGTACCAAATGTTACGTTGAACCAAAGGTAAATGGTCTCATTATATACTTTTCCTTGATGTTGTAGATTGAGAAGGTTGTAACCCTAAAATTTGAGGTCCTAAAAATGTTTATATATTAAATTTTAGGAAAAATTATGTATATATCCGTTATATTTACCGTCATTAAGAAAATACCTCAAAGCTTTCATTATTACACCTATATCAATTTTTTCAGCTTCATAGTATTTTTTTAAAAATTATAGAATTGCTCATTTCGATTTTTCAAAAACCGAAATTTTTTAATATTTTAGTATTTAAAAAATCAAAATTTAAAAATTACCATCAATTTTTTATTTTTCAGGGCTTTTGTGTACCGGGTTCTACTTAGCTAAAACAAATACGGAAGCCCAAATAGACCCAAAAAGAATCACCCCAAAATATAAATATTTATTTTATTAGTATTTATTTGTATAATATAATATAATACAAATACACAAATAAATTAGCAATATAAATAGAAATATAAAGAGGGATGCATTGAGGAACCAAGTTCCTATTTTAAGTTCGTCATTTTAGCTGAAACTTTTTTTTCTTGAGCAGAAGAGAATAAGGAACTTTTAGATTTCGTGAATCAAACATGAAACTTGTAAGGGGAATCTTCCTCACCTAACTTACTGTTATCAATCACGGCTTTGGTAGGGGTCTTTTTAAAGCGACGTTTTCTTTACTACTGTGCATAAAGTTTCGGGCATGTTGGTCATATTCCTGGTTATAATTTTTTGGCGCCAAAATGAGGAGAATCAGGGTCCTGAGGTTTTCTGCAAACCCTAACTCTCAAATGCTTCATCTTCAATCGTAAATGGCGGGCTCTGAAAACCCAGATTCTCGAATGCTTCTGATAAGAATCAAGCATTCAACCTTACCCAAGTGAGCACATAACAGCTTCTTCTGGATAGAAAACCACCATCTTTCCAAGGTTGTATATGTGATCGTTAACAGAGCGCTCTAAAGAAACTAGTTATCTGCAATATTTAACCTGAAGCATCTAAAACGCGGCCTGTTTAAACCATGTATTTTCCCTTTTTTTTATTGCAAATCCCTGCAGATAATCTCTGCAAATTTCATTTATTATGTAAGCTTCTCCGTAGACCTATAATTTGGCACATGCGAATCCTCTTTCTTACAAAAACTTCAATTTAGATCTATAATGGCGCCCTCTGCGACAACTGATTGGCCTTCTCCATCTGAAATTGGTGATAATGCCCTCCAGGTAATAGTAGTTTTGTGTATATTGAACTCTACAACCGTTATTCTTCTTCTTCTATTCTTTTGAAGCAACACTTTGGCTTGCTATTTTGTCTTCCACGGATCTGGATTATGTTTATTTTAAGTAGTTCTTAGTTCCATACTCAATTTTGCACAATTTCCTGTAAAAATTATATATAAAAAAGTAGACATTTATTTTAATTTCCCAAACAATTTTTTAAAGTTTGTTACGTGTTATTTTCATTTTTTTGCATTACTTTCATGTTTTTGTTGTTCTGAACATTCATTGCCAAATTTATCTGTTACAATTCATTTATATATGCATATTATTATTATTTGAATAAGTAAATAAATAGCATTTATCTGAAAAGTGTTCTTGTGGTCTAATTGATCAACAAATTTTCAAAGGTTTTTTTTTTTTTCCCTTCACAATTTCCTCTTTTTGGTTATTTTTTGGTAGCTGCAATTCCAACTTTTTGTTTGTTTGTTGGTTGGTTTTTATCACCAGAATATTGCATGGTCTCCTAGTTTCATATATTTATTTCAATGCCTTTCATATTTCACTTATTAATTTTAAAATCTTCTGATCTTTGTTTTATAATACATCAGTGTGAATGCCTTTTTAAAGTATATGAAGTGAGTAGCAGCGTATGTTTAATTAAATTCTAATATTTTATGTTTCAAATGTTTGTCCCCTAACCTTCACTTGTTTCAAATTATGTATTTCTATGTAGCCTTGCTTTGTTCTCCACAAGGCTTTGCCTCGAAAATATGAGAAAAGGTCAAAGGAATTTAACAGTGATGAGGATGAAAGTTCATATGAGAAGTTGCGCAGCGAAGCTTTCAATTTAGTGTGGTCTAGAATTGAGACTGCAATCAAGGTTAGTCTTCTACTTTTCAGTCCTTTAATCTGCTTTATTATGATTGCTGTATTTTTTTCTTGACAATTTTATAAGTTTCTTTCTGGGTTTGCAAATTTTCCTCCCAACATGCACCAAAATATATTACTTGTGGCCTGGAATCATTGACTCTTGTGAAAAGTTATCCTGAATTTCCACTGTTTCAATGAGCTGAAATTAAGTGAAAGTTTCTTGGAACTCTTTTCGGGTGTGTTTGACATATGGAGTTTTTGGGAGTGAAAGGGACTCTCCCACAAATTATGGAAGACTGCTCTTCTATCATTTTTGATGGAAGAGAGGTCTTCCAAAAATGAACCCATTTTAACACTAAAAAAAAGCTGCATGCCCTTCCACTTTACAACTTCCACACAGTAACATCAAACATGGAAGTGGGACATTTAACTCCCACTTCCAGAAACTTCCACTTATCAAACACGCCCTTCATGATTCAACCACATCCAGAAACTCAGTCATTTTTCTTCAGTTGCTATATTGATAATATTGGATGAGATTTGAGGTTGCTTCACGGATAAACAGAAAACTGAGATATCTAGCTATGGTTTTTATCACTTGCATTTTCCTGAGTTGTGGAAATTCAAACTTCTCCTCACTATTTTGGAAACTGGGAGTTCCTGCTATGCCACGTTTCACTAATCTGACCTTTTTGCTTGGATTGTTGCAGTCTCTGCTATTGTCAAGGCATACACGTATTTATTATCATAATCATTTGTTTCCCTTGCTTGTGAAAGAGCTTAAGACACAAGAAACTTATGGTCTGACATCCATCTCTTAGTTCAATGAGTCTACCATCTGGGGTACAATGGTCATATCTATGATGTAAGCAACATTCATTTTACCCGAAAAAATATGGGGTGTTACAGTAAATGACCATTTCATCTGACTGTCTCTGTTAATTTGGGCACGATCAAAAGTTTTCTGGTATTCAACTAGATTGGTTGACTTTCTGATAAATTCACCTACAAATTGAAAAGTTTGCACCATTTTTTTATGGTGTGGGGTTGGGATATAATTAAATGAAAAATCAATCAAACATTTGCTGGAGTTGAATAACTCTTCTTACTTAATTATGCTGGAATCTTATATCCCTGATAATCAATAAAATAAGTTTGAACATATTTGGTAGTGATTCATTTTGTTTTACCCTTAAAAGCTTTTGATGTAAAGGATCATCCATCTAAACTTCACTTTCTCAAAGCTTGCACCTTGCCAGGCTCTTTGGAAGAGCTCCCAAGTGTATATTATCAACCCTCTCTTCTCTAAAAGTTGGAGAGATTCCTTGGTTCTAATTGTTGGGACAACAAGATCAGCTTTCTCTTTGTTTTTCTACGATGATGTGTTTTTACTGTATACCACCTCTATAACCCTCTAGATTCCTTTGATTTGGTCTTGTTTTGGTGGTCTTTGTGACTTTTCTTGACACTTTTTGCCAATAATTGAATTGGGACCTATTTTTTGGCATATTCTCATTCAATAAACTGAATTGGGGCCTATTTTCTGGCATATTCTCATTCAATAAGCTTGAGTGTCTCAACTTTGAGTACTTTATTGAATTATTTATTATGTGTTTGTACGGGTATCTATCTCTCTCTTTATGCCTAATGCTTTGACTTGGTGGACTTAAGTTTGAGCCTGTACCCTGATGGTTTATGATCCTAAATCATATTTGGAGCTTTTAGGCCTTAGAAGGCTGTTTTGTGTAGATGCTGCTTCTTTTACCTTATCTCAGAGACGTGTGTATCAGACCTAGGACATATTCATTGAACAAAAAAGAGATGATTTTCCCTCATAATATGTGTATATCGTATTTTTGTGCAAAGTATCACCTTCAGTAGTGCATCAGTCATACCTGAGAAGGGGAATCTTTGGCATCTTAAACGATTTGAAGGGGATATTAGTCCTTTATAGAATATGGATGCTGCTTGGTAATTTTTTGGGAAGATATAGCATACAGATAATGCATATGCTAGAAAATACACATCCAGGCAATGGTTGGTAGAGATGCGCAGTGGCTCTGCCAGCTGATCTATCGTGTATCAAGTACAGACCACCTCCACCTTTCCTTTTGAGAAAGGATGGTGGATGCACTTCTTCTCAATTTTCTAACAATCATATAATGTATTCATGGACCCCTTATTTTTTCAGTTTCATCTTCAATAGTAAATCTGGTTTCTGCCTCTGTTTTTTTTTTCATGGTACTGGTCTAACAATTCTATTATCACTATTAAGATATCCATTCATCCTTAGAAATTGAGGTCATTATTTATCTCGAGATTTATTTGACCTTATTTATATTAATTTTAGGATGTTTTAAAGCATAGTACTTCTCACCTTTTCAAAGAACTACACAATTGGGTTCATGAGTCCTTCTTGGCCATTAAATCATCAGCAACATGCTCCCTCTCAGAAGTGACACGTCCTTACCCCCTTTTGGTGGATAATCTTTGCAGACAACTCTTTACAGCCTTCGTGTTAACCAGTAAGTTCCTTTTAATCTGTTACTATTATTACTCATAATGTTGTTTTGACATTGTTTTGTATTGCATCATTACCATAGGGAACCTAGGGAAGGCAAGACATGCCATGTGAGTCACATTTCAATCACTCTCTGAGAACCAAGATTTGTTTTTTTTTTTTCGCTTAATCTTTTCTAATTTCTGATATGCTCAGCTCACCTTGTTGTTCTGTAGTTCATTTATTTCTTACCTAGATTTCATGAAATGTGAATATTGCTCTATGCTTTCATGCTTTGGAAACGATAGATCTTGTGTACTAACTTTAATTTTTCTAGAGATCAGTTTTTAATATTTATTAAGCTCATTGACAATATTGCATGTAATGATAATGGAGAACCCACTTCTCCTTTTTGAGTCCTGCCAATTGTGCTCTAGGAGTTAACTATGCTCGTGAGAAATCTCCTCATTGAGGTGCACAGGCATCTTTGTATGAGCAGTGGCCAATGCTCACCATCTGTGTCTGAAATAAAGTTCCTAGAATTTTAGAGGATCCTAATTCCTTTCCTTGTACATGCTTGGGACTGACGGCTTTGGATTGGAAATCATTTACATTCCTTCCATTACTCAGTAAAAGTCATTTATTTGGTTCCTTAATTTCCATTACTTTATACTACTATATATTTAATTACTAAGAAAAAAACGATATTACCAGCTTGAGTCACTTCTTCTTTGAAATATACAAATGAAACTTTCATTTAATGTTATGTTCATCCTAATTGTATTTTTTCAAGTTAGTAGACAAGTTGTAGATCTTTAGTTTTTGGATGTCTGGCTATATGCCTATATTAACAGAGCCTTATAAGATAAGTAGCATCATTGGTTTCATGTGGATGTTAATAGTTTGTGGCATACGGTGATTCGAGGGAAGTCCGGGTATAATTTTTTTTCGCTTGTGGAGCTTGGGGTGGGTATGATAGCGTTTGCAGGGTGAATGATATAAGGGTTGGGGATGGGTGTAGAATTCAGTTTTCTCGTGCCATATCTTATGCTTCTGCCCTTCACTATTGCTTCCCAAAGTTGAAGTGGATCATTATTAAATAGGTCATTCTCTGAGGATTCAAGGCCTGGGCTCATTGGCTAGGGTGTTTGGGGTCTCAATATAACATCTCATGGTTGAGTCCAACTGCTAACTCCCAACTTTCAACAACCCCCCCCCCCCGGCATTCCCTCAGGGGAAAAAAGACCTCTCCCACTAAAAAACAAAAGGGAAGAAAAAAAGAAAAAAAGTGTCCTTCACTACTGTTCTCCCAAGTAGGCAGATGCCTGTGTGCCCATCTTCATGAGCTTTGACATGATGTGCCCCATCTAGATTGCGGTTTTCTCATTGATGTTTACCCTTGTTACAACATTGATTGCGACCTGACCGCGTCCACCATTGCAGTCTCCAATTCCCTGGCTTTTGTGCTATGCCACTTATCAAAAAGGATAAGAAATTGTACTATGTCAGGAGATGAAGCAGACAGTATACCATTTAATCTTCCACTGCTCTTCTGCGTGATTAGAAGTTTTTAATTCTTTGAGTTGTATCCATTGGTGATGTGGAGCCTCATGAGCTATTACATTCATCAGTTTGGTGTGCATCAAGGTCATCTGCTATGGAAGATGTGGCTGTGTCAACTTCTAGATCATTTCACTAGAGAGGAAGAATATGAATTTTCAGGGATGGTGATTTTCTCACTTACATACTGTAAGCCTGCAAAAGGACAAAGAATGGCTAACTGCCCTGGAATGTACAAAGATTGGGATATCCTTGCAAGTATAAATTATTGTGCTGCCCTTACACATGTACTGGTACATGTCTTAACGGATGTTAAGAAAAGTTTTGCACAATGAATTTTTATATAATAATTATCATTTCAGTGCTTTGCTCTCGTATTTGTGAATCTCTCTTATGTAAATCTTCAATGAATTTTAATTTGGTTCACACATTTGTGATTCTACTTTTTCCTTTTTATTGTAGTTTATTGGCCGTTCCTTTTATCCTCTGTCTGATGATAATTATCTTTTGCTTGTGTTTCTCAAAAATGGTGTGTTACAGAGAATATTGAGATTGTGGATGATCTTCTCACATTTAAAGAGCTCGGGGTGCATTTGAAATCTCAAGGATGCCATATTGTGAATCTTTCTTCACACGAATTTTCTGTAAAACATGGAATTGCTGGCTGTTTTCGAAGTTTGCTAAGACAGCTTGTCACGTTTGCCTCAAATGTATGTTGTTCACCACCTGTATGTGACAATCTCAATTATTGTACTTGAAATTGATTGTAATTGTATCTTATGTTTGGTCCATGTCTATTTTGTTTACAGACACCTGATATTTCTATCCTGGCATCCTGGTATAGTGAAGAAGCTAACTATGACAAACCAATTGTGGTTATAATCGAGGATGTGGAGCAGTGTAGCAGTATGGTCTTGGCTGAATTCATTACTTTATTAAGGTGTTCTCTCTCTCTCTCTCTCTATTGTATCCGGTCATTCATCATGAACGTATCCATTAGTATATAAATGCGAACTTAGACAAATTTAACTCAATAGTGATTCACTTCGGTTGTCTTTAAAATCGGAGATCATTTCATTGTCACAAACTTTGGCAGATTCTTCACTTCTATACTTGTCTTATTTTATTCTGACTGTTTATTTAACTGTTGTACCTTGTGTTTCAAAACTTGGTGACTTGGGCTTGGACCTGCCCAAGTCACTTGGACCTGGTACCTCACTTAGACCTAGCTGTGTCTCACGAGGGCAGGGGCCCTACCATGTTAGGTTCTCAGAAACTTGGCCGACTCTGACCCCTGACCCCGACGAGTTGGACTTTTTACTTGGGCTTGGGACCTTGGCAAGTCAGGACCCAAGCCGAATTTAATCACACTGACTGTACCCGTAACTGTTTCTGTGTCATCTTTGAATGATCGTCAAACTATTTATAAGAGAATCTAGTTTCACTACTTTCTTTCATCCATATGCAGTGGAATATAAGCACTGGTGCATGCTGGTGGAGGCACTATGATAGTTTTCTGGCTGCAATGGACTGAGGTCATGCATAAACATGGGAGTTACAGCTGTTCTGATCAGTAGCCAATTACTTGATTGGAACATGGAACCTCTCAAAGGCATCTCCACATAGTCAGAATATTGGATTGGCAATGGGGATGATATTAGTGAGTCTGAATCAAGAGTAGGGGTGCAACATTTTCTGCATTAAAAAAACCTCAGTATTTGGGCACACAACATGCTCAAATATTTGCAGTTACAAAGTTTATGATACCTAAGAACATGACATTCTCAAACCACTCTTGCAATATAGAGACAGGTTCAACACTTGATGTCTTACCATATCGAGTGGACTCTGACTATAATGTGCAACCTGACTTCATTAATCAATATGACAACTTATCTTCCATTGGTTAACAACTATAATGTAAGCATTAGTTAATGGCCGTGCCTAGGAAGTGATGAAGCTCCTGAAAGGACATTGTCTGAATTCTCTTCGGCATCGGAAAGCCTATATGATGTTGATTCCAAAGGTGTTGTAGATTCTATGTTTTGCCATCCTATGCTGTTCTTCATGTTGTAGGAGGATGAGATGAGCTAATTCGATACAATCAAGCCTACTATCCCTCCTGATTTTATTTTTAGATAAACACTCTTTGATATCCAACAATTTTTTAATTTTTCTATGTTATTACACTAAGTAATGAGCTGTGTATCATGTTTTCTTTATTTTTCTCTAATTTCCATTTCTTTAAAAAATATTCCATATATATATATATATATATATGTAATTTTATAATTGAATGCAATTTCACAGTGTTCTCCGCAATACTATCCAGTTGAATTTGCATGTTACTATGCCTCATGCAATATACTTTCTTTCTTTGCATCTCTTGCAGAATTTGGTTCTATTAGTTCAATAGCTACTATTGTTTATACTAGCTAACTCTTATATTTCTCATGTGAAACACCTTATTCTATTTATGTTTTCTTATACTTCAGTTATCTTGGTTTCCTCTTCTAAATGCGTGGGCCTTCTTTTTAGTGAATGGGTGGTTAAGATACCAGTTCTCATGATTATGGGAGTTGCAACCACTGTTGATGCCCCTCGTAAGCTACTGCCCTCAAATGCACTTCAACATTTGCAGCCTAGAAAATTCACCTTGGGATCCCCTGTTGAGAGACTGGATGCAATCATTGAAGCTGCCTTTGTCAAACCATTCTATGGTTTTAATGTTGGTTACAAGGTTGCATTGTTCTTAAGAAACTATTTCTTACGGCATGATGGGACAATAACATCCTTTGTGAGGGCTTTAAAGGTATGAAACTAGATGTCTCCTTATTTGTTAGCTTATTACCTTTTATGCATGCAAGTCTGAGGGCTTTAAAGGTATGAAATTAGATTGTCTCCTTATTTGTTAGCTTATTACCTTTTATGCATGTAAGGCATGACTTAATGTTGCCTACTTAATTGCTTTGATCCTTTTGTTCAGATTGCATGCATGAAGCATTTCTCGATGGAGCAATTGAGTTTCTTGTGCAAAGGCATAATTGATGAAGATAGTAAGGTTCATTTGTTTCTCCTTTCTCTATATATGCTTTTGGGAGTCGCCCTAACTCAAAGTCAAATACTAGACAAAGATGCGGGAGATGTTTATCTTATTTTGGGAATATCAATCAAAATGAGAACTGATTTTGTTTCTTTACGATTTGTTTCTTGGATGGAGCATATTCAGTGTCATCTTCACTTAAGGTTCTATGATTCAAACACCATTTCATTTTTTTTGAAAGCCTAGGGAGTGGATTTCAGTGACTTAATTACATATGTAATATCTCTTTTGTACTGATTTTATAATCAATAGAAGCTGGTTACATACAAATATAGGTGTTCTCTTTGGTTTTTTGTACCATTGTATTGGGACTTTTATGCAGGTTTGGGAGAAGACTTGTCAATCATTGCCTGAAGGCCTCCTAAAGTATGCTGCCAATATTTCATCTATTAAGAGGTATGACATGAATATTTCTGATATTTTGTGTTATCTTTGTTTATGATTTTTTTCTTTCTTTATGATTTTCTAGTTTAGGCCACCTAGAGCAGCTTGGCAGTATTCATTCCTGCTTGACCTTTTTATTGTTTTTCCTGGTTAGACAAGTTTTAATCTTCAATTAACTTTGTCAAAAATTCTATTATGTGACCAGGAATAACATTGATGGAAACGTTGGTGATGCTTTAGCCGATGGGATATCTGAATTGATGAGATTAAGAAATAATTGGAGCGCTGTGGTTATGGTAAGTCCAGTTTAGACCCATCAATGTTATAAATTGGTTCTCTTGAATTGACCAATTATGTCAGATGGCTGTTGAAGACTCTTTAGGTTTTTTTTTTTGTCTGGTATTTTATAGTAACATTATTTGGCTTCGAACACCATTAATACTTGAGAATTAGAGTTACATGTCATGGATAAATCCATGGCCCATGAACTTCATCTATATTTGAAGTCAAAGTGCGCATGTAACGCGTGAAGCATGCATCTGGCTTTGCATATCTTTTGGTTTGGCCCGAGTTTTGCTATACTCACATTATTAATGGCAAGGTTATCAGATGGGGATGCAAACTAGACACACTGGGAGGTCCACTGTGCTGTGCGCCTTGGTGCAGGCGCATCACTTTCACTTTGGTCAGTAAATTTAAAACAATTATAAAAAATATAAGAATCCAAAGAATAACATGAATATGTGATAGCATGCATTTTAATTTAGTATTGTCTCTAATATATCCACTGTCTGAGTTGCTGATAGCCTGATAAAGAATAATCTCTATCTCTATCATCTAATGTGATTAAAATTTAAATTATATTGATCCATCCCGTTCATTATATTAAATGAAACACAAGAGAATATGTACTATACCAAGATACCATCCAAGCACTTAAGAACTAAAATGACATCTAGCAACTAAGCACATTGTAGCATATAGCCAAAACCCAAAATGCCAATTACTAAAGAGTATTTCACAAGTACTTAGCAACCAATGACGAAAAGTTTATGCCAAAAAAAAATTCATCTGAAAATCCTTTAAACATAGCAGAAAAATAAACTGAACTTTTGCCTAAAGACTACACGAGTTTTATCGAAAACTTTGGAATCAAAAGAAAATTTGATTCTTGATTTTTCACTTGTATCTCCTTAGAACCATGTAAAGCCGTTTATAAGTGGCTTTTGGGGTGGGATATACCTTGACCAGACTCATTCTCCCCCCTTTTCTAGGGAAAAATTGACCAAATATCTCCTCGTGGGTATTATTCTGCCCATGAGCAGGCCAGTGTTCGCAAAATCGAACTGGAACGGTTAACTGGACATGGGCTTGGAAGCAGTTTAACCGGCCTAACTGGTAAACCGCCCGATTCAACCTCTTTAACAGGGCAAGTCCTAGGCGGTCAAAAAAGCGTTGAAAAAAAAAAAACAAAAAAAATCTACTAAAATATGAAAAGCATATAAAAAATGATTAAAACAAAACGCATTCAAATGAAGTTGAAAATTAATGAAAAAAATGGATTTTGACCCATTTTTTATATTCCAAGGGCTATTTTTAAAATTTTCTAAAGGATGGGAAAATATAAAAGTGAGTATTAATGACCAAAACAATTTTTAATCTTTACCACAATGTAAAAAATATTTAAAAATGCATTACAAATCAAATTCCTTATTTTTGAGAATTTATATACATTTGTTTGATTTTTTTTTAAAAATACCGGTTGATCACCCTAACCGCCCAAAACCCGAACCAGCCACTGGTAGGTTCCGATCTAACCGGGCAGTTAGCGGTTAGATTGGGCGATTTTGTGAACAATGGAGCAGGCTCCAGCATATGCAGGCACATCACATCTCCTCACACGGGCAATGTACCGCCTATACGGGCACATCATGATAGCCTGCATAGGCGGGCATAGTCAGATGTGCTCTTGGTGCACTGCATATGATAAATACGATTAGTGCCCAAGCCTGCTTTATTGTTGAAACTTTGTGAATGCATAGTATTTCTCTTGTATTCTTGATGCTCAGACATGCTATATTGTTGAAAATTTTGTGAATGCGTGGTAATTCTTTTGCATACGTTGAGATGCTGGTTACCATGAATTTGTTTCTGTGCATCCTAACTTGGCTTCAATTTTAGTCCTGTATTAATATTGTTAGCAAGCAAAAATGATAAAAATGACGAGTTTTCCATAAAATATCAGTTGTCAGGTCTTTCATATGTTGCTGAGGTCAATTACTCAAGAATAAATACTATAGTAATGGAATCGCTTAATTCTATATGCCACATCGAATGTATTGTATGGCTATGCTTATCTGTAATTGATAAACGTGGCTAAATTCGACTTCTTGAAATTTCCCGGGAGCCATTTGATGAATCTCTATCAAAACAAATATATTTTCTTGCAGTGCTTATTTGAAGTGGGAAAGTATGGAAAAATCCAGCTACTTGACATCTTCTGCGAGGCACTTGATCCATCTTTACCAAATTGTAAGGCATTGAAGCGCTGCTTGGAAGAAGGGAAGGATCACAGACAACCTTTACGTAGGGATGCTATTCTGCGTGATAGTGAATCTTTGAATTCAAGGGAAGGAACATTCATTGCGCAGGCAGTACGGAAGGTGAGGTGTGTGCTCGCACTCTTCGACTTGCGAAGGATCGACTAGTTCACAAATGTTATAGATGCATGGCTGAATATCTTTATTTGAGGATCTTTTTGAAAGTTTTGTTGAGGATTTTGCTGCATAACTTGATAGCATGTTTAGACAAATTGTTTACTGGAGTTCACTTGAAACTAGCATTTTCGAATTTGAGTACCAAGACAAAGCTAGCATCATCAAAATTTTGTACTGGGGTGAAGCAAAATGTTAAAAAATCAGTCCCTTTAATATGCATATGTATATAGTTACTTGTGGATTGGTTGATGTCCGAACTTGGGCTCGAATTATTTTTGTAGGATTAGTGGTTCCTTCAAATTCTCATTTCTTTAATCTTTCTTGTTTAACTATTATTCAGTTGAGTATTTTGATTGACCAGAGATCTGCCATCTGCATCATTACATCAACTGCTTAAGTTTTGGGCAAGACATACAGAAGAAATTGCTGAGGTACACTTTATGATTACACCAAATTGTTTTGTAAGACAGAAGCTTGTCTTCTTGTTACTCAATTTTCACACTGAAAAAAATGTTCATAAATGTGTTCCTTGGTGTGATTGTATGTAGCCTTATGTGATTATTATACATGGAAGCTTCTTAATATATGAGTATATATGACTGTGCATGATTATTTATAATGTCGAAGTTTCTGTTCATCCATTTATACTTTTCAAGTTAGAGAGATATACCTTAAGTACAATACTGTGTTCTCATTGGTAATCTTCCCAAGTCTTGATAGATTCTGATAAGGAATTTTTGCATGCAATCTGATAATGCTCTACAGTTGGCTGGACCAGAATATTGAGCAGCAACAGCTATCCAGTTGTGGTGATAAAGCATTACATATAAAATTTTTCGTTATTCTCTCACTATCATGTTTTTTTGCTTGCAGGAGTCTCATTCTTGAATTTTAATGAACCTATACCATGTATATGAGAATATATGGTTAGATTAAATTTTTTTGGTGTGGATCAATTACATTGTGAATGGGATAGTTTATATTTTGGGAGCATGAATATAAACAATAAGCTGTAATTTCTTTTGTATTCGTTTGATAAAATTGGATGTGTCTTTACAATAAAATGTGTCTTTACAATAAAATACAAATGAAAATATAAAGAATCTAAAAGTATGTTAAATAGTCAGATATTGAAAAAGTAGTAGAGTAACTCGATTATAATTACATTTCATGAATAAGAGTAAAATTAAGGACCTGTCTAGGCAGACAAAATTCTAGGAAAAAATGCTCTTTTTTTTTCTTCCAAAATCCACCCGTTTAAGATCATAAATCTTCTAGCTTGGTGCACCTCTTTTCACGGGTGAGGACGTTTTTAAACATTGCTTATCTACAAACACCAGTGAAACACATGTACGGCTACAGCCAAAAAAAAGAGAAAATCTCGATTCTCTAAAATCAGGTGACTCGGGATTGCGCAAACGGGGCTCTTTCTCTAAAAGCGGGGCTATTTCTTTGATATTCCTATCACCCCGTCCAAACAGGGTCTAAGATATGACGTATAATGATGTTAAAAAAAAGTAAAAATCAAGATGCATGACCCACAGTATCTAAATTATGACATATAATGATGTTAAAAAAATAAAAATCAAGATGCATGACCCATCTTTGGATATAAATCTAAATATCTCCTTCGTTTTTTTTTTTGAATAAGTTGACTATTGTATTGTATTATTAAGAAAGAAAGTACAAGCAAAATCATGTAGAGAAGGCAGCCCCTTAACAGGGTGCCTTGTACAAAAATCCAATACAGGCCCAAAAAATGCTCTAGATCAGAGAAAGGAAAGAAAAGAGGGATCGCAGGTCTAATGTGCCCACAGTCCCCGTGGTGGGGTTACAGCTTGCTCCTTCTCTAGCTAGAGCATCAACTACTTAGTTAGCTTCTCTGAAAGTGTGTTGCCAAGTGATGCGCAAGGAGCTGCAGATGTGTGTGATCTCATAAAAAATGTGGTGAAGCCTCTAGGGGCATGAGGCTGTTCCCGTGGCCCAAGAAATGATATTTCTGGAGTCGCCTTCAGCTACCAGGTCAATGCTCCAGCTTGTTGAATTTTCGAAGCCCCTTTAGCAACGCAAATGCCTCGGGAGTAGTGGAGTCTGTGGTGCCAATGGGAGAGGAGTATGAAAGAAGAAGAGATCTCTCAGAGTTTCTATATAAGCCCTCTATACCAGAGGGTCCCGGGTTGCCTAGAGAGCAACCATCAAAATTGAGCATAATATGCCATGTTTCAAGAGGCCTCCAAAGAGAAGAATAAGAAATTTTCATGGCCTTGAGGTACAATAGGGCCTTCCAGTTATTAAGGAGGTTGGCAAAAGAGTAGTTCTTGAACATGTTGTGATTTTGGGCTCAAAAGGCCACCAGGGTTCTGCTTTTGTCTATCACGCTATGGATTGAGGCTTTCTCAGCCCTGAAGATCCTACTATTCCTTTCGAGCCATATCGTCCACAAGGTGGCAGCAATGGAGGCCTGCCAGAGACGGTTGCCAGATTTGGACCATGGGGTGTAAAGACAGGTCGACAAGAGGTGGGGGCTAGACCGGGGGGTGACCCATGTCCAATTGAAAACTTGAAGCAAGCTGGTCCAAAGAACTGAGGCTACGGGGCAGTGGATGAAAGAATGCGTGTTAGTTTCTTCGGCTTCTAAGCACATGGAGCATCTATTGGGTAAGGAAAGGCCTCTTTGCTGAAGTTAACTGTTAGTGCGCTTTCGTGAAGGGTGACCCAATAGAAGAGTTGAATTGTAGGGGGATAAAAGGAAACCAAGCCTTGGCCACTATTGAGGGTGGGGCAGCGAGAGTAGTGGGGGACGATGTTATAGCAAGATAGAAAGAAGCCACTGTGAAAGACCCATATGGGGCAGTGGACCAGATGATCTTGTCTTCCCCAGAGGGCAAAAAGAAGAGCGTGTGAAGCATAGCAGAAAGCGGCAAGAATTCCTCCATCTCGTTGTCTACAAGGGGTCTTCTAAAATTGGGGTTCCAAGTTCTGATAAGTCCAGAGCATGGAAAATATTCAGCCACAGTCGAGAGGGGTTACGGGCAATGGTGAAGAGATTCGAGAACTGGTACTTAAGAGGGAAACCACCTATCCAGGTGTCAAACCAAAATAGCGCCCTGTTGCTCTCCTAGGATGGTAACGGACGGGATTGAGGAATGGAATGTGGCTGTGTAAGAGAGACCTCTAGAAACTTGAGACATTTCCAGTGGTCTTACAAGTGGGAAGCCAAGCATTGTCCCTGCAACAATATTTGCGATGAATCACCTTTCTCCAAAGGTGGTTGGGTTGGGTGGCATAACGCCACCACCATTTGCCGAATAGGGCAATATGGCAAGGTCTTAAGTCGCGAATGCAAACCACCAAGTGCTTTGGGGGAGCATACCTTAGCCCATGAGATAAGGTGGAATTTATGACCCCATATCCCGACCATAGGACCCCTCATAAGCTTTTCCAGTCTAGCAATGACTGCAGATGGCATATGGAAGAGGGACAAGAGGAATAATGGGATGATAGAGTGGTAGCCTTGATGAGGCTCAATGTCCCAGCAGGAGAGAGGAACCTCCCTTTCCAACTGGTGAGTTTTCTTTCTACTTTGTCAATAATTGAGCTCCAATGGCCGAGTCTCGGCACACTAAGGTACAAAGGTAGATAGAGAAAGCTGGAAGGGAGTTCAACATCTACACATCCTCAGTGGTCGTCTAGGCTTTGAATTAGAGAGATGTCAGTGCCGACACCCATCATTTTTTATTTTTCCATGTTAACTCTGAACCCAGTGGCTAGCTCAAAGCACTGGAGAAAAAGCGAATTTTGAGGGCAGGCGTCGCAGAACAACAACATATTGTTTTCATATTGAAGGTGAGATGTGGGTCCCAGTTTGCTAGTGTGGAATCCAGTGAGGAAATCTGCTTGGTAGACTCGAGAGGTGGAGGCGCTAAATACCTTGGCCACTACTGTGAAGAGGAATGATGACAAAAGGTCACTCTAGCGTAGGCCTCTCGAGGATTGGAAATATCCTTTGGGGAGCCATTGATGAGAACAAAAAAGGAGGGGTTGGAGATGCAGCCTTGCATCCTCTTTCTCCAAATAGGTCCAAAGCCCAACCTAGAGAGGTTCATCGAGGATTCTCCAATCTGTGTGGTCATAAGCTTTCTCGCAGTCAAGTTTATTTATAAGACCTGGGATTTTGGAAAGGTGGCGGGGTGGATGCATTCATGGGCAATGACGGGCCCGTAAAGGATCTGGCGGTCCTTTACAAAGGCCCCGTATGTTGGTGGGATAACGTAGCCAAGAACAGCCTTGAGGTGAGAGGCCAAAACCTTTGTCCAAATTTTGTATGAGCTATTAATCAAGCTAATGGGCTTGAATTCTTGAAGCTCTTCCGCTCCCTCAATCTTGGGTATGGGTGCTATAAAGATAGCTTTCATGGCTATGGATGATCCCACATGCATGAAACTCCTCGAAGAATGCCAAGATATTAGGTCTCAAGGTATCCCAAAAATACTTGAAGAGAGCAATAGGGTAGCCATCTGGGTGCACGATCGGAGCTAAGGTCATTGATAACACCTAAAATCTCTTTCTCTGAGAATAGCTGCTCTAGTGAGGCAGCCACGGCAGGAGGCAAGTGGAAAAAGAGAGATCCACCATGGTAGGTCTAGAGCACCGAGGGGTAGAAAGGAGATGGGAGAAATAATCAATTGTTGCTTGCATCTACGAGATGCGGTTGATCGAGAATGTGTTCCCCCACTTTCAGAGGTGTGATGGAGTTCTCACGCCTTTGACAATTAGCAATTTTGTGAAACTAGGCTGTGTTTAGGTCGCAAAGTTTGAGCCATTTGACTTTGGCTCTTTGGGACCAGTATATCTCCTTTTTGCGGAGGAGGAGGTGGTAGTCAAGCTTTGCTTTGGCTCGGAGCTCCAACTCAGTGGGAGAGAGGAGACATGATTCCTCAGTGGGATCCCATTAGTGGATAGGCTGAAGCAAAGCTTCCTTTTGGGACCCAAAGTTGCCAGGTAATTGGGAGGGAAGATTTGAGAAGTTGAAGCCTCTTTTGTAGTTTAAACCCTGCCCAACCATGAACCAAGGTGGAGAAGGATTCCCATTGAGAACAAACCGGTGAAGGGAGATTAGCCTCTTCTAACTAGGCCATCTTGAAGCGAAAAGGCTTAGGCCCCTGGGTGACAGCCTGAGTTTCAAGTAGGATGGGGCGATGGTTCAAAGTTGGCTTGGGGAGGACAAGGGAGTGGGTATCAGGAAAAGTGTGATCCCATTCAAGAGAAGTAAGAAATTTGTCAAGCTTGGAGAAGATTGGGTTTGAGGAGTGGTTGGACCGAGTGTATTTGTCTCCTTCAAGAGGGATTTCAAGAAGTTGGTTATGAGAAATGAAATCTAAGAATTGAAGCATGATAGGGTGATTCTATCATTGGAATTGCGCTCGTAGGACCACCTGGTGACGTTGAGGTCACCCCTTAGGCACCAAACAAGGGAGAGCAAGGAAGCAGCGAATGGTAGTTCCTGCCAAAAGGTTTCTTCGACATTGTTAGAGTTGGGTCCATACACCACTGTACATTTTTAGAGAAGGCCATCCAAAATTCTGGGTTGGGTGACCATGATGGAGAAAAGGCCTTTGAGAGTCGTAACCAAGGAGTGGATGGTTAGGTCTTAGAGGACCCAGATGCCACTTGATGCACCATGTGCTTTGAGTGCAACCCTTCGACAAGGCCAAAAGCCCAAGTTTGCCAAATAAGGGAAAGGGTGGGAGAGGGGAACTTGGTCTCCATTAGACCTAGGAGCGAAGGTGAACACTTGATGTTAAAGTCGCGGACAAAGTTCCGCTTGCCTGGGTGTCCCAAATTCCGGATGTTCCACAGTAAGATATTCATGAAGTGGGGAGGGGGGCGGGGGCTCTCCTACTCTAGCGCTTAGGTTGCTGTCGAGAGGAAGAGGGTTGGACATCAGGGGAATGGGCAGAGGATTCTCTTTCATATTTGATTCCAAAAACAGGTTAGAGAGTTCTCGACTAACCCTGGGGCCTGCTGTTAATGACTTGCCTATGGATTTTTTGTTATTCCTGACATAGGCATCTGCTCTGATAAAGGCTTTTAGGGTTTTTCTTGGGCTGTCGAACTTGAGTCCCATCACCTTGAGCACCTCATGAACGTCACCTTGGGCATTATCTAAGTCTGTTACAAAATTAGAGTCCATAGTTGCCGCCGATTGAGATTGTGAAGAGTCCTCACTTGAGGGAGAATGTAGACTAACCTATTGATGCTGAGAAAGGTTATAGTTTAGGAGTGGTGGGGGAAGTAGATCACCTTGAGGGATGTGGAATGAGGTCCACCCCGGGGGGGTAGGTGGTGAGGGCAGAGGTAAGGGGGTAGCTTAGTGAGGGAGGGATAAGAGGTCTAAGGGGTCGGAATAAGGGTTCAGAAGAAGGGTTGAGGTTATAGGGTTGGAGTTGTAGCATGTTGATGACTGGTGATTGCTCTGTAAGAAGTCGGGGCCATGCAAAGTAGAATGGATAGACCCAGACGAGGGGGAAGAGAGATCCACCAGACCGAGGGAGGGCAAAGGGAGGTTGGTTGGTGGAGCAGCAGAGGTAGGAGGGAGGAGGGCAGGAAAGAGGGGTAATTAGGGGGTCCAAAAAAGAAGGGGAATTGGTGGAGGGAGTTAGAAGGTAGGGGGTGCAAGAAGAATAAGAGGGGGAGATGTGAGGCGTGTGAGAAAGACTAGTCGAAGAAGGCCCAACCAACTAAGGAGCCATAGCAAGAGAAGTTGGGGGAAGGGGTGACGAGAGGGGGTGGGAGAGGAGGGAATGACGAGGAGCACAGTGGCAACGAAGGAGAGAAATTGGGGCTAGCTCCCAAAGGAGAAAGGGTGGAGATCGGGGATGAAGAGGGGAAAGGCTGGAGGCAGCGGTTATGGATGGTGCAAGATGGGCTGCTGGCAAGGTAACCTCGGGAATAGGCGAGGGGGGTAGGTTGATGGTAATGGAGGAAGTTCCATTTGGGGTAAAGGGGCCAAGGATCAACAACAAAGAGGGAAGGGAGCAGGGAGGAGAGGCATTGGACGACTCAGAGTTGGCTGTGGGGAAAGGGGCATCAGGAATGTGCCGGGGGGGGGGGGGAGGTGGGGAGGGGGAGGCAGAGTCGTGTGGAGGGAAGGTGAGCCAGTTGTCAACTGTAGGGAATTTGAATTAGGGGAACCTTATGGAGGGAAGGTTCTATCACAACCGTCTGCAAGGTAGGAAGGAGGGGTGGGAGGCGTGTTGGGCATGAAAGGGGTCTCTTCACAACTGGGGACACATGGTCTCTCAGCCCTGGCGGCAAGATGTCGATCATGTGATCAGGCAGTGGTGTGCCAGAAGGAGCCATTTAGGCCGTGTTGTTGTCACTTGTACCAGATAAGTTAGAGGATGGAGGTTGAACCGGTGGAGGTCCCCTCGCCCTCAGAAAAGTAGAACCATCAAACTGTGCCCTATGGTTCATGACTTGGCAGTTGCGATGCTTTCGCAGCTGACACTCGTGTGTGACTGTAGTCCAACCTTCTTGGCCTATCGAATGATGGTGAACTGGCGACGTAGGGATGGGATTTTCTTGCTCTAGGACATGGCGGAATGAGGTGGGAGAGGCAAAAGATCAAGCCATCGAAATGCTCGTCAATTTCGAGCCACATTGAAGAGGGAATGAGGGAAGGGATGAGTTTCGACGAATAGATGGATGGAACCAAGAGGCAGAAAGCCGGAAGATCTCCAGTGGATGGATATGAAGGCTCCATAGGAGTCTTCAATTCGTTTGAATGTATCGACATGCCAGGCTTGGAGGGGGATGTGGGAGACTTTAAGCTAGATTCTCTGTGGTTTGGCTGTACCCATTTCCTTATTCCAGTATTGCAGAGAGAGCGATGCTCATTTGAACTGAGGGTTAGTGCTTTGAACTGCGCTATGGAGGCAGCCCTCAGAAGGATAGGAAAAGAGCAAGCCACCCGACGAGAGTTTATGGAAAATGAGGTCGAGAACGCCTTAAAGCTCTCTACGCCATTTTTCAATTCCTATGGTGTCCCCTCTGGGTTGGTGGAAGTGATCCACAAGAGATAATCTCATTGCCTCTTCGATAAGGGTGGAGTGAGGATCCCCTGCTGGGATTGACAAGGGACCAATGTGGTGAGGAGAAAGGGAGTGAGATGGAGAAGATAGGGAAGAGGCGAGGGGATTGGGATTAAGGGATGGAGAGGCTGTATGGGGTGCCTGAGGAGGGGGCGGAGGTTTGCGAATTATATGGGCATAGGTTTCATAAAAGAGGGGAAGGAAGAAGGATTAGAGAAGGGGAGAGAGTGCAGGGGGTAGAAGGTTGCAGAGGAGGGCAGGCAGGAAGTTGAAGATGTAGGAGAAGAGGATGAAGATGCAGGATGAAAGAGGAGGGATGATGGGAAATGAAAGGCTGAGGTGGGTGACAGGTTGAGGGAAGAGGTTGGATGGAGAGGGAGGGACGAGGAGGAAGCATCTCCAGAAGACATGTCATTCAGTGGTCCAAAACAAAGATTCATCAGGTCTCACTAGTTGAGCTCGAGTCAGGTCTGACAGAAACAGTCAAAATCTAAAAAGAGAATGTAAAAACATTGAGAACTGGCCAGATTCTGCCCGTTCCCATGGTTTTGGTTCCAGACTTGGCAGCCTGCTGAGTCCAAGTAACATGGGTGAGTCTGAGTCAGACTTGCTGAGGTTTGATGCACTGATTTTGTGGGAACTATAGTGTTTGTGAATAAATGGTAAATCAACTTTGTATATGATCATCTGCTTGAAACTTGAAATGCTTAATACTGCGCTAATATTTTTCTTAATTATCTAAACAAATATGGAGCAAAACTCACATTTTTTCTTTAAGATGTAGCATACAATTATTTTTTAGATTTGTTTGAACCATGTGCTTCTCTAGGTCAATCACAAAGTTCAAGCGCTTTTGTCAACATTTGAAGTTGAAGTTGATGGGCAAGTTGTCAAACAAGAAGAAAATGGGATGAAAAGGTAAACTTAATGTACTGCAGAACAATTTTGCAATTAATCAGTTAGAAGTCTTAATCCTCTCTGTTTAGATACTATGTTCAATGCAGAGTAGGTTTTGAGTCAATCGCCTACAGTTCTCATAAAAATGTCTTGCCATCTATTGACGGATTATTAACTGATCAAATCTTGGTCATCTTCTCAATGGACTAAATCCCATTTGCTTGTTGCTTGAATGATCCGCAACAGCTGGGTCAAATCTGGATTTTTGATTATATTTACCACAACTAATTACATTCTTATACAGAACGATACCTCTGTTATGTATTACGAAAGATGAATTGTTTGCACTCTTGCTTGGCAATCCTGCTCGTTGTTATTATCTCGTTGAATCTAAATAACTCCAACAAGAATGTCATCAGCTTTTACTGATCAGACAGATAAGGAAATTATAGTTATTTGATAACTTGTGCAGCTGCATGAATAGTTATATTAATTATCAATTCGTAGTAGCTTGTGTCGCTGATACTATTGATGCACGATTTGTACATTTATCTATTACCTGGCATATTCATTTATTTATTATTGTGTATATAGGCAATAGTGATTAATTTGTCTTTATAAATTTGATTATGTCTTAATCAACCTTTGGCAAACCAGATAGATGGCTACAGACCAGATATTGAAATTGCACTTGAAAGTTAATCCCAGAGTTATGGAAGTCATAGAGTTCCCCATTCTGAAAATCTTTTGTGTGTTGGTTTAGACATATTATAAAACCTTTAGGACGTTGAGGTTTTTATAAAATTTTACTGGCCCTGAGTCTTGAAGAAATTTTGATATTTGATGTTGACTTTTAGATTAAGTGTTTTGATAAAAGTCATTTCAACATTCCAGAAGTAAAAGGTTGGATTCCTTACCCTACCCAGTAATGTTAATCTTGGCTAGAAGTGAAAGATTGAGTTTTAATTTGTTGGGATAATAGCTGCGGGATTCCTTGTGATTTATTGGATGTTTTACAATTTCCATTTGTTGGCTCAAACTCTAGGAATATTGGCTTACAAGGACATTGAATTTGGTCCCCGTATTCTTCTTGGGCCCGTTGGACTATTAATGCACTCGTATATTGGGGCTGCTAGTGTTCCTGGGGTGCATGTCAATTTCCATAACGCTCAACCTGTGCATTAAACTAGTAAATCCAGTTTGTAGGTATGTTGAGCCATTCAATAGGCATGTTAGTTAATCTATTGACCAGCTAAATTTCCTCTAGCTATGTATTAATAAAGCAAACATGATAGTGTAGGATTTGTGTAATATATGCAGCTCATGGAGCAGCAGCCTCACCTTTATTCTCTAACTCCACGGTAGATATTTATTGCCTGAAATATATAAATTTTAAAGAATCCCATAATGTCAAGGATGTCAATGTTCTCTTTGTTACTTAAGATGCAACTGAGGACCCTCTTGCTGACAGAGTTTCCCTAGCATTTGTTTGGGCCTCTAGTAAATGAAAAGGACTTTCCAAAACATGATGAGGGGAGCAAGAACAATATTAGCAGTTATGTGAAGGACATCGAGCTTTTGGGGCAGGGGCTTATGATGTCAATGAGTCGTTGGTTGCCTTCTTTTATCTTATGTTTAATAATGCCAACAAGTCTACCAATTCCTTGGCCAGCCATGGAGCAGTTAGAGAGGAACTAGCTATTTAGGACTTACCTCACTCCTTAACTCTTGCCTTTGCATGTATCTGTTCGTTTTCCTGATTTTTTTTGTTTGCATATCTCTGCTGTCTAAAATTTACTCTCAAACAATTGTTCACAGATAAAGAGTTTCAGGTTCGAGGTCAATTAAAAGGGAAGGACACTATTAGCCATTGAACTGATATTTGGTTCCTAGGTCCATTCCTGTCTAATGATTTGGAAGATGAAGGGGAGAATTTGGGACCCACAAGAATATAGATCATATCCCATATGGTGGGTTGCACTTTCTCTCCACAGCCTTCCATCAGTCAATGGGTGGTGATGACACTAATAGACTATGATTTTCTGTAGTCTGTTTCATTCTATTTCACTTTCCTATATTTGAACTGCTCATGTTACTTTGTCTAAAGAAGCATCATGAAGCATGTTACTAGTAGTATATTAAGCAGATGGTAACAGAATGTATTCAGTCTTAGGAGTTCTTATATGTGCATTATGAATATGCACTTCTGAATTTCTTGTAGTTGGTATCTGGAGGATCTTTGAAATATTAATGGTGATAACACATCGTTACTTCATGTGATAGAAACCCAGTATCTCAAAGGCTTCCGAATATGGAAAAGGATAAAAGCCAAGTTGCACATGAGAAAGCTGCAATGCTTGCTATTTCCATGATCAGGTGTGCATAAAATCTTTCTCTCCTATAATATTTGACGCTCAACTTTAGACGCTCTGATGTTTCTATGGTTACAATAAGTTCTAAGATATCTGTTGACGAGACAACATACTGATATCATCGTGTACTTGCACCTTTTTGCCCCCCGCCCCTTCTTCCTCCTCTTTCTTTTGGAATGTTCACTTGGGACCTGGTGGGGAATGTAACTCTAGACATTATGTTGTGGCACCGACCACCCTGTCCACCTTTCCGTAGAGTCCATTCCCTGTATATTATTTGTATAGCTTACAAAAGTGATTATGAATCTGATTTCATGTAATGTTAGGCTTTAAACTTGTAATTTGACTGAAAAATGATTATCTGTCATGGATATTTTGTGGATTATGATGTTACATGAGAGAATCATTCCATTCTGGCTCCTCTTTTTTATATCACTCAGGGCAAATTCCTTCTGTTTTGCTTATATGCTTCTTAAAAGTGTTTCATTTACACAAAGGAAATGTTCATTGATACCCAGCCAAATAAAAGGCCTTTAATATGTAATTGGCTCATGTGGTGGCCTTGTTACCTTTCCATGCTCCATTGGAAGTCATACTATATGTTCCATGTTATGATGTAGCTTTCTACATTTGAATTCACTTCATTTCCTTGAAAACATCTTTGCTCAGTAGAAATCAGAGGAGCTTGTGCCTTCCATAGGTCATTCTCATTATATGTTTAGTGACTAGGAATAGGTAAATTAGAAGGATAAGAAATGAATAAGAAATGACTAAGGGGAGATCATTTCTTGACGAAAGCTTTTACAAAGGATGAGTTGGACCTGTATTGCAATATAGTTGCAAAGCCCTCGTTTGGGAGTGCTTTGCTCTTTCCTGCCTAACTAAGTGAGTGCTTTTGGCAAAAGGAAGGAACAATATAACTTATTATTGCCTCATTCCTCACCTTAAAGCTGGATCGTAGATTTCAGTCATGCCCAGCTTGTGTAATGTCTCAGATCCTTTTCAAGGACCCTGGTGAACATCAGCAAGCTGATATTTTTTCACATAAAAGGTACAGACTTCTTGGGTAACTACTATTTTTCTTACAAAAATAACTCTGTTGCTCTCTTCTATCATGAAATACTAGATTTGCATGGAAGGTAAACATAGTGATGCTGTCTAGAAGGTGTTGAGTTGCATTTCGTGCTTGGATATTAATATTAATGGTGCTTTCTGACTGTCACATAGTTCCATAATCACAATTCATCATACTGCAATAAGTAGCATTTGGGACGTGATACATCAAAAAATACAGGACAACAGTCCTAAAGGATTTTATGGGGTCAATGGGGTGTTCTTTGCCAAGCCCTTTTGCTATGGAGTGGACAATTGAAACTGCTCTCTTTAGCCGCTTTTTATGATTTGGAAAGAATTGCTGTCCCTTTTTTTTTCTTTGTTATGGAGCACAATGTAATGCTACACCTATCATATTTAGTGATTTTTGATGGGAAGCCAACATAAAATTTATTACCATTATTCCATTCAATTTGATATTACATGTCTACTTTTGTGCCTGAGATTGTTTCGACAATCAGAAGAACCTTGTGTATTGTTCTTTGCACATGTGCTTGATTTTTAAAATTTTTGGTAACTCATTTATGAATGAAAACTAAGATACTAGTTATCCATTTAACAGAAACTGAGTGTTATTTGTGAAAGAGCTTTGGAAGTTAGCATTTAACACTGTCATCCTATTTTCTTGTAAGTTGCTAACCAATGTTTAGTATTGATTGTGAAACAGGGATTACATGGTACCAATAGAATCTTCTCCTTTCCATGAGATTTTCTGTTTCAAACATGTTGATGTACTGCAATCTGTAAGTTGTTGGTGGATCTTTTGTAATTCTTGTTGTATGTTCTATATCTGAAATGTTTGTTCTTGGATTACCTCCATTGCATGGCCACATAGATACAAAATTATCTTTTGTAATATTTCCATATCACACGCATGCATGCAAATTGATCTATTTACGTGTGTACATGTATGTGTTCATTTGAATCTACATGTGTTGATACCAACTACATCAGTTTTTTAGATTTTCTAGAGATAAATTTAGCGCCTCAAGCATGAACCATGTCTCTAGTGAAACCAGGAAATTTGTCAAACATATGTCATGCGAGCCCTTTTTTTTCTTTTTGAAAAATATGTGGCACATAAGCTCACAAGGAATCGTTCACATAGTAATTTGTGCCTAGATGCAGTAACTATAGCTTGCTGGAAATCTCATTTTTTCTTTTGAAAATTGTGTGGCACAAAAGCTTTACCCAAGGAAATCGTCTGCGTAGTGATTTCTGCCTATAAGCAGTTACTATAGCTTGCTGGAAATTTCATGAACACTTAAAATGCATAAGGATCTCAAATCTTCCCATATGTAAGAATCAAACCTCAACATACAATGTGCTAATGTAAGTCTTTCCAATGAATCATACCAAATAGGTTTTGTATGAATCTAAAATATTCTCCTGTTATGAAAATATTTTTTTTTTTTAACAATACCTACAATCTTCTCCTTGTTCATGCATTTCCTTACCCTACTTTAAGTCATAGTTGTTTGAATCAGTGGGAGAGATCACGAAAAGCTAGAAAATTCTTATGGGAGGGATTGCTGTCCATACAAATCATATTATAGGGATCTCAATCCCAACCTTTTGGGAATCTTGCTCCCAACCCATTTGGATATAGCAGGCCCATTGGCAAAGGGTTTCAAAATAAATACACTGAAAAGTGTGTAAGGGTATAGGGTTGATATCCATAGGCTTATTGTGATGAACCTCTGATGAGCCTTAGCTGTGAAACTATTGTCAGTGTGGCATGTTATGTGATCACCCACTGTCATGACATTGATAGCTTGTATGGCATGATTATCAGCCTTTGTGGCGATTTTGCTTGCGTGGCTTGAGTAAGCACCTTTTGGGGTCGTAGGTTATGTCATTGGATATTTAATAGTTCATTTATGTGGTGAAATTTCTCTTTGAGGAAACTGTTACAAACAACTGCCATCTACCAGTTATTTGACTCCAATATTCATAGTGCAAGGGCTAGACTAGACAATTATGTTTGGCATGACTCTTTGAGCACGACCTCCAGCTAGCAGTCTTGTTTACTCAGTGATATGCATTTTGAGGCTACTTGGTTATTTGGACAGTTACATGCGATATCCAACTAGCAGTTTTTTAACTCGAAGATCCCTATTGTATGGCTAAATTGGATAGTTACATATGGCATGACTCATTTAGCATGACCTCCATCTAAGCATGTCTTAAAGAGACTGCGATTCACATTTTGCTTGCTAGAGTTGACAATTACATTTGGCATGGCTTCTTTGGTGACCTCTAGTTAGTCAGCCATATGGACTTAGATATTCACTTGGTGATGGCTAGTTTGGATAGTTTGAGTATCCATTTAGGGTCTTTGGCATGATTCACAGTTACGATGGTGATTTCCATATTCAGGTGGCCTGAGCTCCAATATTTAAGGTGATATATGTCATGCAGTGTAAGTGTCCCTGCATTTCGGAGAATATGAGAGAGAGATGGGCTGGGGTCATGACGGTAGCACCCCCATACCTCAGTCACCACGTCGTGGTTTCCATTCCCACTGACCCACTGACACCTTAAAAAACTAGCTCCTAAACCATTTAAAAAAGAAACTCGGTAGGGGCCCATCTTCCACACTGAATTACCAAAAAAGAAAAAAAACACACAAGCTTATGAGATTAAAATTACTTGAATCATACAAATGGATTTTCTATAAATATAAAGGTGCCAAACTAAAATATTCTTCTTGCTCATGAAATTCCTTCAAATGCCATTTATCCACAACAAAAGAGAACTTTTTTTTTTGGGGTAATTCAGTGGGGAAGACAGGTCCCTACCTGTTTTCTCAAGTAGATTAGGAGTTAGCTTTTTGAAGGTATTCGTAGGGTAGTGTTAGTGGTGGAAATAGAAACCACAACGTGGTGACTAGGGTGTGGGGGTAAGACCACCACGGCCCCAGACCCTTTCCCAACAAAAGAGACCTAGAAGAAGGAATGGACTCATCGGTTGGCAAGGGTTAGTATGCCCAATATGTTGGCTTCCCTAGAGGGAAAAACCATCGACAATGAGCTTGCCACAAATGAAGAGCACAATAGACAGTGACATGCCTACTGGAAATCCAAACAAGAGTTAGGTCGAGATTGAGAGTGAGAGAGAGTAGTGCTATGATATTCCCAGAATGAGAGAGTAGTGCTATGAGAATCCCATAATGAGAGAGAGAGAGTAGTGCAATGAGAATCCCATAATGACTGTAGGGCTTTCATGGGACGCACATTCTTATGCATAGTTCACAAGGAAGCATTAGAGAGAGGGGGGGTTTTGTGGGATAAATAAAGATTTTGTGATAAGGTACTTTATCCTCTCCAAGACCCTTCCAATTACAGAGCTATGTAGGGAGAAATACCCTTCCAATTACAGAGCTATGTGGGGAGAAATTTACAAAGTAAAATTGACACAGTGAGAGTTCATGTGTTGCTTATTGTAGATATATGTCACTCATCTTACGTGATTCAATACCCACGTTTGTTATTTTAAAATACTTTCAGGTGGAGTAAATAAAAAGGAAAATAGAAAATAAAATACCCCCCTTTGTTGTAAATATTTAACGACAGTTATTTGCTTTAGCATAAGCCTTTTCTTTGTCTTACCGGATTGCCAAATGTGTAAAGTTGTTTTGTTTACTTAATGGAGCTGCATATTCTATGCTTAGATGATTATTTGTCAATTAATACCCACAATTTCTTTTCAGAAAAGGGAAAGCTTTCCATGTGGCCCCACCCACATATATAGTATATATGACCCTTGATCTCAGCCGTTAGATCTTAGTAGATGGCTGAGATGGCTTGAGTCACAATGTCACAAGCTGGCTCTTGAGCGTCAGATCTTGATCCAATGGCTCAGAGTGTTTTATTTATAATTTTTATTCTATAAATTATTTTGCGATGAAATTTGGGGCATGCATACATTTGACAGGGGTGCACATGTTGAAAATAATAATAATAATTTCTTATGATAAAAAATTACCAGAATAACCCTAAAACTTTTAGGAGCATTTTGGTTATTTATTTTCATAAGATTTTTTTTTTTTAATTTTTATTAGGTGTGCCTCGGGAAGGAGATGGGACTCCCCAAATTTCAGCCAAGGTTTTGTAGAAAAAAATTAAAAATAAAAAATTGTTTTGGCATGACATTATGACATGAGCAATCCTAGTTATTAATTCAGATCGAACATCTGAGAATTCGGGTAACATATAATTCATATGTGGTTGGGGACATACAAAAAGCTTTCCCTTTAGAAAATGAGTAGTCCTTGATCCACCTTGTTTGTTTCTAGATCTCTTGGAAATTGTGGTATCATTTCAAGTCCCAAACTTGTGAAAGATAATTATTAATTACATCTTATGAGTATCTTATGAGCCATCTCCCCTGTTATTGAGTCCTCTGCTTCCATCTGATTTTTCCTCCTAAAAGTATAGAAAGTCTCCCTTTTTGGCATGTTTGAGCAAAGCTTCTTCTCCTTTGGGTTTGTAAATTATATGCCATGTTGTATATCTAAAGATCTATAAAATTTAACACGTGCTATTGACTAAAGGTCTTAGTGTCACCTGCTAAACTGCAGTTTCAATACCATCTAGTCTGTTAAAGGAAAACAAAGAAGTGATAAAGAAAAATTGCATATCAAGTTAGTTTCTTAGACATTGTCACATGCTTCTTTTTGGAAAAGGTAGTTTCCTTGGTTACAGATTTATAGGCATGCATAGCTTCTTTGTTTTTCACAAGCCAGTGCAATGCTCTCTCTCTCTCTCTCTTGATATATATATATATATATATATATACACACATATGGAAAACTCTAAAAAAAGGCTGTAGGCGAAAATCAATACTGTTTCGCCCCGCCACGGACTTGCTATGTCCGTGGCATTTATTGAACGGACCCACAACCGACGGCGCAACGTCCATGATGCTTCCGCTTAATTTTTGACCGTCATAGGCCTAGCATGTCCGTGACGGTACCGCCATGGACTTGTTAAGTCCGAGGCGGTTGTTTTATTCATGCCGCCTGATTTTTTTGGACGGTGATGAGCCTATGGGCGAAAGCACTGTTCATTAAAGCACTGTTCATTTTTGCTTGTAGGCGTTGTGTAGATGCTTCCTATATATATACACCTCTCAAGTCATATATACTCTCTCTCTGAATGATTTTCTGTCGAACTTCCTTGTAGGCTTTAATTGGAGATCCACGGAAAACGATTCAGACAGATCTTCTCAGATCACACTCTTATCTTCAATGTAGTTGCTGCAGTGCCAGCTTAACCCCGTCTATGCATGATACTTCCATTCTGTAAGTCATCTTTATCTATTCTTGCCTTTCATTCCTTTCTTATCTTGTACATTATATTTTCAAACTGAGTTTGGTCAGAATGTCATAGCATTAGCCCCTGTTGGATGGAGCTGGTCAAATCCACATGATCTCTCTCTCTCTCTCTCTCACACACACTCACAGACACACACACACAGATTTTATCTAGAACAAAGACAGGTGAGGAGAGCTTTGAGATGTAACCCAATTATGTGCACAAAAGAGTATCCATGTTTTCCAGTTCTTTCTTGATTTGTAACCCAAGTTAATTCCTCTAGGTATAATTTGGCTCAAGAGCATGGCGATCTTATAAACGTACACGACTGGTATGAATCTTACAAAGCAATACTTGTTGGGTCAAGCACCAAAAGCAAGGCTAAGCAAAAACAATCACCAACTCCGAAGAAGAGAAAGGTCACTGATGAACCCAATCGCATTGAGGAAGCTTCAATTCAGTATCCTTTTCTTTTGCTGGTTCCTTAAGCAAAAGCAGTTCAGAGTCATGCAATATCTGTTGGGGGGTGGTGGGGGTGGGGAGAGAGAGAAGATGGGCATAGCCACAGCTACCTTGCGGTGAGGTGACGGACCCCTCCTCTCTCTCTCTAGTCACCTTTCATTTGTTGTGTTTATATTTTAAAGGTACTTGCATAGTGCCAACATATGAGCAAACTATGCATCTGCTCTCTAAGCAAAAGACCCGATTTACTCGATTTTAAATTTTGTGATCTACTTTAAGATTATTGGATTAGAATTTCAAAAAAAGAAAAAGAAAAAGAAAACAAAAAAAAGATTTTGAGTACCTAAGTACTAAATTTGGCCGTACAAATTTTTGGATGGTCCCTGTGCAGTCCTAGGCGTTGACTTTTTTTAGGCTGATTCAAGATACGTAAATTGATGTATTCAGTTTACTTTTTTTAAGTTTGTTGCTAGGTCGAGTAAATCACATATCCAAGTATAGGATCTTTAAAATACTCCTAACCAGGTTTTGTACGTTTTTCTCCTGCAGTACGATATAATCTTTTCAGAGGTTGAAGTGGTGTTTACTGCAAACTTGCCATGTTTTATTTGTTTACATCTGATATTATTTAGTAATGCTATTCTTAACTTGATTAATCAGAGCTAGATTTTGTAGAGCAGTTACGGAGCTCCAAATTACAGGCCTTCTTCGAATGCCCAGCAAGAGGCGGCCTGATTATGTCCAAAGAGTTGCATTTGGACTTTAACTAGTTCATGGCGCCAACCTATTTGACTGTTTATTTATTTCCATGAGGATTATACCACCCTCAAATTGGGTGAATTTGATTATGTAAGTGTGAATTTTTCTTCCTATTTTGAGTAATCTTTGGTTTTCTATTCATAATTGTTTGCATAATCTGATTTCACTCTTTTGCAATTGGATTACTTTGTCCTACTCTTGGTGATTTTGTGTTTTTAAGGAGAAACTGTTTTGATCTGGGTAGACTCATTTGCTATATGAATTTGCAAAAGCTTTCACTCACCTAGAAACAAATTTGCCCAAAGTTGTTGAATTTTCCATGATTTTGGTTGTGTTTCAGAAGCTGACAATTGAATTGCTTTGGTCAGTCATTATCTCTGATAAGTTTAACCGTCTTTATTTTATCATGATGAGTTCTATTTCTGATAATAACTCATGTAATACCTTGCTAAACTGAATTTATCATGATATTTTAATGCTTAGACCATTCTTCATAAAAATATGTACTTAAATTTGGATTTGACAAGACATGTTTACCTAACTCCAAAAATCACCACATGATAGATGACGAGCAATTTGCAAATAATTGATAAGTTAAAGCTAGCAAGTTGGATATCATCATCTTTGTCATTTTTAAAGTTTTGAAATATTTATGTTTTTATCTTTTATAATTCGAATTCATCTTTGCTAATCCAAACAAATTTTATAATACGTAAAATTCATGGTAATTGTCCAGAGTTTCATTACTAGTAAAGACCCGTATGAAGATTAAAAAATGAAATGCTTTGTGTTTATTGTTTGAATGTATATGTATTTACTGGCGAAGTGGTTAACTCCCTTTGTAGAAGGGTTTGTATGCTATGCTGGCATTCATGCTTCATGTATCTGAATTCATTTGGCCTTGGAGCACTGCAATGATGCACTTCACCCTCCTTTGTTGACATTGGTTGCTTGAGGAGCTGCTACTTTATTCTTTCAAACCCAAACACATTCCCATGACAAGATGTCTCATTTATGCTACCCATAAATGAAAAGTTTGGAAGTCCATTGTCGCGTCAACTGGTGTTCACTTGAGAGAGAGAGAAACCACTTTAGGGCTGGCTGGGCGAGGTCTACAACCGGCTCGGCCCCACCTGACGCTTTTTTTCTTATTGTTTTTTATTTACTTTAAATGTATTTGGCTTGGCTTGGCCCAACCCGGCTCTAATAGCGCCAGGAACTCTTCAGCCCAATCAGGGTTGGGCTGGGCTAATGTTGGCTTTGTAGGGAATAGGGCCAGTCAGCTCTGCCCAAGCCCGGCATGTTGCGACCCCCATGAGGGACAAGGCATTTCGGTTCTGTGACTCGATTTCAGGTCAAACATTATTGTCAAAAAATTGTATACTCCTGTCGGAGAAGGTGCCGCCATGGGGCTCATGTTGCCACTCTTGATTATAATGAGAATAATCGCATGACTATTACATGGTTATGCTTTTATTAAGATTTTTTGTTTTCCCAGTATAACACTATAGGTAAGTATTTGTGTTTTTGGAAGGGTCTTTTTTGGGAAACCCTTGAAAATAAGATCCTTATCTTTAAAAAACGAGGTTAGAATTTTGCTTTTCTTCATTAATATTATTAGATTATTGTGTTGATCTTTTATTTGAGGGAAACGTTTACGGGAAACGTTTACATAAGATGTCAACCTTATATTTTAGAAATAAATTGCAACTCAAAAATCTATTGGAAAAGGTTCTTCTTATGCTGAAAAGCCCTCCAATTGATATAGACCTTGAGATAAATGGATATTACTAAAAGAGGAATTTCTAGTTTTAAATACACATTCTTTGGACGGTCCATTTTTAAGTATTTATAGATTTACTTGATTTGTGCTATTTTTGAAACTTTGAGTTTCTTTGAATTTCATAATGAGGGATATAAATAGATTTTCAAGTCACATCAAGACTTTATTTGGGTAATTCAGTGGGGATTTAGTGGTTTTTTAATACATTGCGTTATAATGAAAGCCTAGATCTTAGTTGGAGCACAAATGATGCTGCTATCAACTCCATTAACTTCCAACATTAAAACTGCATCTTCTAGCAAAGCGCACCTTACTTGTTTGAGGCCGATTACTTATGTGTACTTCACCCCTATTCATTTGAGGCCGATGCCTTGTATTTACTTCACCCCTCTTCTTCTTTCCTCATCGTCTTCTCCGTGTCCGACAAATAGCGACATTTTCTCTGTGGCCACTGAATGGTGAGAAGGAGCGAGCACTTCTCAGCAACTGCAAAATAAAGAAAAAAAAGTAGGGTGGCAATGGCAATGGGCATGGGGCTGGCCCAGCCAGCTTGGCCATAAAAAAACTAGGGCTTGGGCCCGGTCCAAGGGTAGGGTTGGGCCGCCAAGGCTGGGCCGGTTTTTTAGTATTCTTTTTTGCTTTTATCTATTTGCCCTGCTTAGCCTGGCCTGGCTTGGCCCTGCCCTGATAGGGCTAGAGCCGGGGCTGTTTTGGCCCATTCAAGGGGGGCCTGCTCTATGGGGACTAGGGCTGGGATAGAGCCAAGGGTGACCAGCCCGTTGTCATTCCTACATAAAAGCTAGTTTTATCAACATAAAAATTACTTGTGTTTTTTTTTCCTCCTTCAGTTTTTTTTTTTTTGACCTTTATTGTAAGTTGATTTGAACTTTAGAAAACCAAAAAAATGGCGTCTAACATGTTCCAAGGGAAACAAATGCCCATCATTTTCCTTCTATCCACAAAGACCCTAGATAACATGAGAGGGGTTGGGTTGTGGTGGTAACACCCCCGTACCTAGTTACCATGTTGTGGTTTTCAATCCTGTTGACACCACCTATTGACACCTTCAAAAAAGACAACTCCCTAATCTATATGAAAAAATGGATAGGGTCCGTCTTCTCCACTGAATTACCCCAAAAAGGAAAAAAGAAAAAAACCTATTGAATTACCCGAAAGGAAAAAGAAAAAAAAAGGTTCCAGAGAACGGTTAATACTCTTGGCAGCTCTTAAATCCAACTGTAGAGCAGAACCACGATTTTTATCAATTTCAAAATTTTGGCACTGCTAGGCTTCCAAATCAAATAAGAGTTTTTCATTATGTGATAAACGGCATTCTCATTGCTTCAGGGTTTTAACTTCTTACGAATTTTATAAAACGGCGTAGAAATTATAGATAGTTTGACACAATGTTTCAAAACCCAGAAAGGTGGGCAGGATCATTCCCCCGTGGATATGTATTGGATCGTCATATCGATAATTTGGATGGGATACAGTCTGAATGGATGATCTAAAAAAATATTAAAAATTAAAATAACTAAAAATTAAAATAGGGATTTATGAGATGGATATTTAAAAGGACTTAAAAAAAAATATTAGATAAGATCAGAAAAAATATAAAATGGGAGGTTTTATGAAGGAACCGGCCTGAGAACCATACCATTCTAGAATTGGCTTGATCCTGACCAATTCTTATCCAAACCAGCAATCCAGTTAAAAAATCGCCGGATCTTGAACCACTGCTTTTAACCACTTCATTGATTCTTGGAAGTAAAATAATATTTTTTCTTTTCCGATCCCAACGGTTTTAAACACTCACAACGCGCTGTTTACAAATCAGCCTGTTACCAAGCTCTCACACAATCGCTGTCTGAAAAAAGTGGTTCAACTGTGAACCACATGGTGTCCTGTGTGCTTTTGTATAATAAGCAATGATTTTTATTTTTTTTTTCTTTTTTGGATAAAGTTAAAGAAGGCAATGTTAATGGTGGAGTTGATATCACAAACTCCTGGCTCATTATCAAGTTGTCTAATTACAGAGTCCTTAATCCAAAAGGTACAAAGTATACTCAAATGTCCTTTCATAATTTTCCAATTTTTCAAAACAATCTTCACAAGAAAACTTGGTTATTTTTTTTGTCAGAATTGGATATCAAGTATGTTATAGTTTGGGTGAGGTTTGTATAAGGTTGCTTCCTTATACTGTAGAAATAAGGCGCCCCTATAAAATTTGGTTTGAGATGTTGTGTTGTTGGACACCTTGTGATGCATTGAAAAAATCTATGTTCATCCCTAGTTATAAAATCTTAAATTGTAAAAATAGTACAAATCGAGCAGATCAATAAATGCTTGACAATCTTAAAAATAAACTGTCTAGATAACTTGCTAAAAGATGCACTGTTTTTCCAGACTTGAAATTATGATTTTTGTTATATCCATGTATTGAGATCAAGATGATCATTTGAAGGTATCTCCAACAATGGAACACTCTCTTTTGTAGGACTTTTAAGGAAAAAGTTTATATAAGGATGC